TAGTGAACGGTGGTACATACAGGTTGATCCAGTATCCATGATCACAATAGGGGTTTGTCTTATCATTTCGGACTGCTATATGTACCTATCGATGTCGTAGGGGACACAACAGTAAACGTAGTCGAAACATAAGACTTTTCAAAGCGTATAACGGCTAGTAAGAGTGATAACCGGGAAGTTACTATTAGCAGTGTCTAGGAGGAATGGAGTACCATATGATATGTGTCTGTGTTTTTGATAAATAAAAGGTTTAAAAAAAGGTCAAGGAGCAAAATAATGTATCTTGACTAAGTTTTAAAGGATAGCTATAAACTGCTCGTATCTGTGGGTTGAACTTCACTCCATTACTTAGTAGGCGAACGGCACTCATGTGATCATTCTGTCGGCACTTGATCCCTTATTTGTATCGTGCTTTCCATTTATTGAAAATGGAGCATGATGAATCCCAACGCCAGATCTCGACTTTAAATAATATTACATCCAATGGCATCGTTGAGTGCGAAGGCAGTGCATATTACTACTTAGCACTATCTGCACGATTATCGATAGCAACGAAACTCAATACCCGATTTTCGCTCGCAGTGCCTGTTAAGCGGCTTTTGCGTTGCCCGCAGATCGATCCGAGAGCATATGTTGTTGAAGTAAAGTTAAACTAAGCTGATACCACGGGGAAAAATGCAAAATCTCTCGACGATCACAACAATAGCCAATAGCAATTGAACATACATGTCTGTCTGCCCGTATCTTCGTTCGTTCAGTGATCGAAAGCGCGCCAATATCACACAGCACTAACAATCCTGATCGATCTCCGTTCAGTACCTTTTTTTTTCAACGCTTTTTATATCACGTCTATTCTTGCCACGGCTCAGATTCCTCTTGCCCCATTTGAAACACTGCGGATCCGCGATGTCCCTGTTAACTCTTAGGTAATTTCCCAGCGTCGCTCAGTTTGTCTCTCGTGTTTTCTACATCTATAAATTATCGAGCAGATTGCTATCCGGCGGCCGAAAGCGTCATCAGGTTGATGTCGCGCTAGTCCGCCCCTGACGCCCCAGATTGAGCGGCGAAAGACTGACCGGTCGAACACATACACACACCTGGAGAGGTCACATCAAACCCAAGAATAATAGGATAGCAGAAGGGACAGAGTAGACAGAACCGAAATGATCGGTCGAAGACGTTCCGGCCGGATCACTCCACTCTGGGACACGACTCGTTGGGTAGCCGACTCGAGTGATCCGCTGAGTTGGCGGTTTCTCTTTTTGATCAAAGTGTCGAAAAGTTTAAATATCTTCATTCCACACAATGCTTATGAACGTAATACTAGAAGAGGAACGACATATCTATTTCTATCAGATCCAAAATGTACAACGCCAAAGGCTTTGTGGATCAGCCATTAGTTTTATTGCGTAACGCACCTTAGAAATAACTGGATTATCGTTACTAGAATTTGCCCATTGGTTATGATATTCGTTGAATATAACGACGATAGTGGGACTATTTCAAGTAGTTCGTATATCTATTGATTGCAACTCGAACATTACTTCTGCCGAACGAAGCAGAGAAACTATTACGTTTCTACTGCAGTGTGGACGTCGCTTGTTGACGGGTTGACCTTTGAAAACTTCGGCGAAAATCGCCGACAGAATCGGTTGCTTTTGGTGCCATAACCACAGAGAATTTTTTTGGTGCACGTTTATGAGGTCGAGTTGTATACATATGTATATTCTGCAGTCATTTTGTGAAACACCATATTGAAATCTTGGTAAAGAAAGCCACGGCAGCCGTCATAGACAACAATGACCACACATAACTAACGACTGCATTCCATGGTTCCTATCAGCAACAGCATAATGCGGCGCGGCTTGTGTAGCGGTCAACGCGATTGGCGTCATTTGTATTTCGATAGCCATCGTAAACCACAATGTCTGCCTGGCTATGTCATTTCTTAGGATTAATTTAAGCCATTATAATCGACCACTGACTTTTTTTTACTGACAAGCTCGTCACTGCCATCTTTACTCTATTGCGTACTAGTCAACTGGAGATCAATCTTATACAACAGATTCGAACGGACTAATAGATGTTACATCACAGCGAGGTTAGATAATACCATGCTCTAACTTCTGAACGCTCAAGCTAGCCTACAAAATGTCATTCCCTTAGGCTAGAGGATAACATTTGGCGAAGCAATTAGACACTAGCGCAAGTTATTACGTTCATTAGCAATCAACCTTGTGCGTAAAAATAGACCAGTAGTCCAGCAATCTCCTATTCAGTTGATCGGCCGAAAACAGGGCTTCCTTCCCCAACTCGCTGCGTAGGTTACTCTAGAAACCTGCTATCGACAACATTCTATAGACACTCGCTATTCGAAAGTGAATAGTGCTTTGTATTCCTGCATATCTTATCTCAATATAGAAACTATTTTCGTTCACAAGTTGCCAGTAACTTAACATACCTACATGCCTATCAACGTTCAACGTCCGCTTACATGGCTGCAACATGCGAAATGCTAAAGCAAAACACCCACTATGAAACGTTCGAAACCAACTCCATTTGAAACAGAAAAAAAAAAGGTGTTTTCGCGCGGAAGTTTTTAACAAACCAAGAACACGTGAGTGAGCGCGAAGTAACTCTTACTTCCGTCTAGAGCATCCTAAGGAGCGTGCCAGTTCCCTCTATCGTACTACTCGAGAACTTATAAGACAGCCAATGTACACCTCCATAAACACACATGCTAATAGAAGAACTCGGCTGCATAGCTAAGGAAAAACAAGACGATTTCTATACTGTTGTTGATGTTAGTATTCGAAGCTTGGACGCGTGTGGCGATGACGCTGGAAGGTCTATGACTCGCGAATGGCTAAAACAAGTCATGATTTGTTCTTCTTCTAGCTAGATGGTACCTCTTTTTCGCTTTTCTTTTGTTTGACAGACTTTGCTTAGAAGGGCGGCTCGCTTATGTCGCGACCACCCCCTGGACTAACTGGTTTTCCACCCTCCGATCTGTCCCGAGTGCTCGATCCCGTATTCTGCGATTGTGTTTACGTCAGGCAGAAGACAGAACCATTGTAGCCTTACGATAATCATCAGTCGCTTTATCTATCGAAGCTGCGTCTTCAGCTACTGCCGAATGGCAGTACCGACCAGGATGACTTGCCCGTTTGTAAGAATATCATCACTGTGAACTCATAACAATAACAACAACTACATGGATCCTTTAACGAAACATCAGCTTAAGCTGGGAAGCAAAGTGGGACGAGCCTTCTAACCATACTGGGCTGGTCTCAGCACCAAATCGCGTTCATGCTTGCTAATAGTATGAAAGGAGCTGGAAGACGACCAGGCTGTGGAGAGTGCGCACTGTCATAGTTGCAGACACATAATCTTGTCACTAAACAAAATAACGGTTATGTTCCGTCTTGGCTACTGCACAATTAATATATACAGAAAGGGATCATAGGACTGGGTGGCGGCAACTAAAAGTCTCTGATAGTGATGCTGTGCCCATCAGCGACCTGCCAGCAACATAACGGTGTTGACGGGCGCAGAAGCCAAAAACAGAAGCACACGAAAAGCAAATGAGCGATAGACAGTTTCTGTGTGCCCGTATTCTGTTGATAAAGCCTTCCTTGGCGAGCTTCTTCCAAGCCGTCCAGCCTACAAACCTCAAAAAGGTTAACTTGAGGAGCTGCACGTGTAAACAGATTCGGCAGCAGGAATTGTTCGACACTTGTCTCTAAAGAAATACCTTGCTCGACTTATATCAATATCTATCTAAAATTTAATTTTGTTAATAAAAATAAGTATTTATTCTAAGTCATGGTTCCACAGGCCACGGCCGCGTACTTATATAATCATTTATGTTAATTTTATTAGCTATAATAAAATAGAAAAGTGTTTTATTAAATCGCTCTATTAAAACCAACTATCTGCTTAGTGAATCTGTAAAGAAGTAAACGGCATGCTAGTTTATTAGGCATAAAAACCAACTAAAAAAGTGTCGAAAACTGTGTTTCGATACCAGGTGAACTTTGGCTCATTCAGAATAATTGACGCGAGTATAAAAATATAGATCGCCTAAAGCACACTATCCGTTAGGCGATACACTAACAAACGTTCCCCAAGTTTACTCTTTTTGCCGTCGTTTGTAGTTTTTGTAGAACTAACTTTTTGCAAGGGTCAAACGTTACTTAATTGGTTAGTCGAAATATTGTTTTCAAAGTTCTCATTTCTTATAGCTGCCCACCTGTTGCAGTTCAAATGATATCGGCCTTGTGGATGACTGTCCCTTTTAATCCCACCTTCAAAAAGGGGTGCACCATACGAAGTCTCAAACTTCTAGATCCTCTAAACGTTTCTAGGTAAAAGGATAGAGCTATTTCGGAATGTTCAAATGGAGCATGTTTAAGCGGCATCTTCTTTTTAATTTTTCATTTCAACAGCTCTCGATATTTACGACCTCCTGCCCGAGCATTCATTTAGCTACCCATAGGGGTTACGGCTTTCTACTCCTTTGAAGTCGATGGTCCATTTGAAACATCCGTGATCTGCTAATATCCTATTCAATATGCGTCACTTATGATCGATGGAGTCGGGGGCTTGTGCCTAGAATGTCCTTGTTTTTCTGTAAAGGCCTAGACAGCTTTTTACGCTGACTAACCAAATGACTTTACATTTTTACTTTTCTATTTTAGTTTACATTTACAAATTCCAAACTTGTTACTTTATTACCCTAAAAAAGATAAACGTTAATTAAAACATTTGGTGGCATAACTATCGTACTCTGGGTAATCTTTTAAACCTATACGTGCACCAATTTATGAAATCTTGTTGAGGACGGCAAAGGTTTCGCTTGTAAAACACGTGAACCGCAGATGCAGGCGACAAAGGTTTTGCTTCAAGTAGAGTGCTCCAGAGACTAATTGATTATTTACCTAATTAATTTTAATTAAACTATTAAATGTTAACCCTAATTATCTGTTTGGCTTTTTAAGGGGGGACCAGTGCAGGTAGCGCAACCAGCAAATTATTATGTGACGAGGTGACAAGCCGTTTCTCGCTACCGTCATCTCCTCTCGATTCGGCAGGCAGTGGACAACCCTCTAGTCGTGAGATCTCATCGCCGCTGGACCCAAGCGGGGGTTCGGCCAACGTTGGTGTTCCACCCTCACATCAACAGCAGCAACCCCCGCAGTCACATCACCATCAGCAACAACACCAAGCTCATCCACAGCACCAGCAACAAACTCAGCCCCAGCCTCATCCGACGCAGCAAAACTACTATGCACAAAACGCGGAGCCGAGATCTGCTGGGGTCTACGTAGATAAAACAGAACAGCCAATTTATCAGCACTGTACTAGATAGGAGGATAACCACTATGAGAATTATAATAATAACAACAAAACGCTAGACTATAATAGATAACTGATATGTTACAAGGATACGAGAGTCTTTGTCTATAGAGCTAAGGATGCATTATACATAGAAGAACTTTCATACACCCATCAAAACATGATATACATGTGTAGCCTACATTAAGCTGTATAGAGTAGATAACAATAAATGTAATTGACTAACATTGTCGCCTGAACGAGTGCAAACTACCAGTTCTCTCTCCTTTTTAGACGTATTTTTGATAGCTTGCCAAAATCGTACAACTCCAATATATCGAACTACGTATATCACATTAAATGTACAGAATTCGAGTCCAATTCGGTCGGTTCTGGAACTTCCAAAAGTGCCATCTTAGCACGTATTTTACATCTACATAAAAGTAGAGACTCCCATTAAGAATCTTCATTAAATATTTACTGATAAATAAATAGTTAGAATGATAAACATTCAAGCAATTATTATGCGAAAAATCGATCGAAGAGGGCAGGAACCGTCTAGTCGTCGATCAGTATCTTCAAACGGAAAAAAGAATATTAATTAAAACTAGTAACGATCGTTTGATATGCTGATTGAAGTTGGCGTACGTTTAGGAAATATGTAGCGTTCTACAAAGGTTCCATTTTTATGTAATCGAATCTGGTAACTTATTTGAGAGACGGATATTTACAGATGCAAGTTCGCTACACGCGGCATGGTAAAGCCGAGTAATATATATGCTTTTAGCATAGCATTATTACGGAGCAGAGGCGTGCCATTCTGTTAGAAACCATTATATTACAAGCTACATGTGTACTCAACTTGAGGCCTTTGAATTGCGATAGAATCTAGCCTCCTCCTTGTCATAATAGGCAAATACGTGCAGGACAAGCTAAGTGTTGCAATCAATAAAATGAAAATAAAAGGTAGAACAAGAGCAATCACGCTGATTATGTTGCTGGCCTAATGTAGAGAAAAGCTGAATTTAAATAAATAAGATTGTATTTAATAATACGAGAGTGTTGTCATATCCTGTCACACTGTCATTATTTAGATTTTTTTTAATTATCGAATGTCATTAGTAGGTGGAAAATTAACGAATGCGGCAGGAAAACCTGTATCTGTTCTATACCTATTCACGTAAACAACATATTATTGGACACGATTCTTTTAGAAGCAGGGGCTCGGTGAGGGCAATCTAGTAGGGTTAATAGAATCCGCAGTGTGTCACCAAAAGCGTTAATGACTTACGTTACCATGTGAAAAGCAGTCCCCTGAAAACCACTGACAACGAAGATATCATATAAGATTAGATATAATTGCAAACATATTGCAATAAATATCATATTATATATAATAGGAAACTAAACACATAAAGTGTAGCACCAATAATAAAAGTCGATAGGATACACTGGGCAAATTTCTATTTCTTTTCTGTTCTAGTTTTAATCGTATATACAACACGTCAACTGCTTGTGACAAGGTCGTAGCGAATGGACGGGGCGCGGGAGCTTTGAAAGCTCCTGACAGACACCTGGTAGTTACCATAGCAAAGGAACTTGTAGAATTTTTGGGATTGGAAAGTGACTGCTCAAAGAATACGCGCATGCCGTGGACTGAATCGTCACCAGGCAAGATTCTTTCTTACGGGCTGTGACAAGGTGATACGCGGGTATGGAGCAATCAAAGATGGTATTGACCTCATTCGCGGTACATGACGAATGGAAAGAATTAACATGGGATAAAATTTTGCTATCTTCTCAAATCTTACGAGCATACGAACTCTCTAATACGCTAGTTGAATATCCTGATGAGTGATCTGAAGTTGAATATGATGATTGTAAACCTAATACTGCCCCGGTCAGTCATAGACTCAGTATCCGAGTCGATGGCAGTCTTATTGTGGTTTTTCAAGGCGTATCTCGAACATTGTTCTGCGCTAGACGGCTATCTTCGACGGCTTTTTACACATTTCTCTGTGGCTGCACAAAGGATTGTTTTTGTTTTCTTTTCACATAATCCGAATCAGCCATTATACGGTTTGGCACCCCATGAAGACGTTTGCCTCTTCGCATGTCAAGAATATAGAAACGCAAATTAAAAACTAGCGGATGTAATTGCTCTCGTTTTGAAGTGAAAACAAAGACAGTTTCGTTTATAATAAGATCCTGTCCCGCATTCAGCTTTGAGCGGTAGACATTAAGATGGCGGTAGACATTAGGAAAAATGACATGAGAAATTAAACTTTACGATTAATACTATTCGGTGCATAAAGGATTACTGAACAGCAAAGTATGATTCTGCTCCATTAGAAGTAATTGGTCGCGTTATTTTACCCGACTGGCTCGATGGCATTATTGCTAATGAAGCGTCTGTCAGTCGCGACATTTACTGGACCTTAACGAAATCGCTATTGATTTCCAATTTGGTCGGCACTATAATGATGCGGGCGCTAAGAGCTATCTCTAGAGAATACGTTAACACAAGTAATACATCATTGTGAAGGTCTCGGTACCGTGATTGCACTGCTATGCCAAGGTCGCTTCATTAGTGTCTATATAAAACAGAACGAACTACAGCAATATAATTCGATCAAATTGGGATTTTATATGTGTTCGATGAGTTGTGTTTTATAATATCTTTGTAGCAGTTAAAATAATAAAAACAAAATAAAGCCTACATTAAATATATGACAAAACTTCATTAAAAATATGATCCTCTGTAGGACAATTTATGCTATACAAGTGTTTCGAAGGTGTTTTTCGTAATAACCTATAGTTTAAGCGACATCTTCAGATTGTTATCACTTTATCACGGCTTTATTATCTATTGCATAATTATATGACAGTGATCAATTTCCGTAAATAGAGCAAGCGGAAAATCCTGGCTTGGCTGATCGCTTGAATGTGTAGGGCCTCTGGTTCGAGTGTATAAAGTCATCCCGGCACCCTACATTAAACATACAGGCGACCGCACATAACACGTCATCGAAATTTTCCTGTCATCCATTTAAAACGTCATTCCAAGAAAACACACTCTGGTTCTACAATCTCTGTCGCCTCGCCTAGGATGTGTTTAGACCGCTAGAAACTGTACAGGTTGCAGCTTACTTTCTGGTCTTTAATGAACCTCCTGAAGAACATACGCCACACGATGTTAGAGTGTCAGCAAATAGCGGAGGCAGTGCGCCAACCAGACCAACATAACGCGGCTTTACGAAATGTCCGATAAGCATGGATTAATTACTTTGCAATATTACACGACACTCGATATTCAAGACAGTGTTCTCTATGATCGATGATCAGATGTCCACGACGGAGTGCAGCCTAGTTGGGGGAAAGTTCACCATGCTGGTGGCTTTGCAGGACCTCAGGAGCCTGCAAAATAACGAGGCAGCAGTGCAAAGGGCTTTCCAATGAATACCCCAGGGGTGCCCTCGATTTGGCCCTGTGTAGGTTAAGTAGGCAGATGTTTCGCCTGCTGGTGATTCCCAAACGCAAATGTGAGCCAATCTTGCCACCGTTGTGGATCGGAATCACTAATAAGAATGTATGCTGAAATTTACTTTCTAGCTTGCTGACGACAAGACGATCCGCCTTTTTGGAAGGCAGGCAAGCTATCTCGAAAAAACAACATGCATTTCGAAGAAAGCGTTTGACGGAAACAACATGCAGTGTCGTGGTGGTTGACACTCGGCTCCGCACTCAAGATCTTGCTCTGCGTATTTTAGCATGCGCATATATGCCACGAATTTGCCCCTTCTGCTAGCTGCAATAAAATTAACATAGATGAAGACGTGGCGGACCTGTCTCTCAAGCGACAGGTTTAGGCCAAGCCGGGAAGCTCAGGCTCTTCTGCTCGAAGTTCTACTTGCGAATTATACCAGCAGAAACGCGGACAACTTGGTAATCTACAATCCTAGTATATTCCAAGTGCAGCGAGCTCTGGCTAAGCTAGATGGCAATAACTGAATTGAAATTAACTAATAGATAAGATGGAGGCTGTAGAATTTGGGAAAGCAGGCAGTACCGTGGTCAGCTATACTCCATCTCTCGCCAGATGTCCCCTTTAGGACGTCACCAGATTTTCGTACCTTAGACTACTCGTCCTTTTTATTGGTCTCAGTTTGGCCTCAAGCCTCACAGAAAATGTAGACCGCGTCATTTATAGTTAGTACCCCAAAACGTTTCTCTCTCGCAACAGCGCTCCACCTACTTAGCCCGAAATACTACTTAGCGGCTTACGGCGTGAATATAACTTGGAACGATCTTACAGTAGGGGATTTTGAATTGCTCGCCCAAATGAAAGCCTCTTTCTTGAAGATGGCTCCGGTTAGCTTCCAGTGGGAGATCTGAAATTTCGCTTTAGATTTCCAGCGACCGATGGCTCTTTCAAGAGTCTCAGCAGATAAAAACAGAAGCTCGTCGAAATAAACGGTAGCTATTTCAGCATGAGAACGATGAAAGATAATGCCATGAAGAAGCCTGAAAAACCGTTACGTTGTCGCCCGTTTCGCGGTCCACCGCGGCTTTTACCACAAATTAGGTACGAACGAGCGTCTTTATGAACATAACAAAGGTTATGTTTGTATAAATGCGGAGGGAACTGCGATAATTACCATGCGGCGTCTATTTTTTAGAACCTTTGTTTAAGAACCTGATATACTGATCCTCTCGAAGGCACAGTACTTCTACTGGTAGCTTTAAAGCTTTCCTACTTTTAATATAATAAATCATCATCATCATCATCATCATCATCATCATTGGTCTTGTAGTATATTACCTAATTTTATTGTTGCGCATCTTTTATCAAACGTGTTACTGAACGTATACCACCACAAGTAAATAAACATTACTTGTTATTGTTACTAGATTCGTCTATTTATCTTGCTAGTGCTTTATTAGTTAAAACAGGAGCATAGAATACGAGTTGTTGAAAATTCATCACGGATTGACAACTTCTAATATGATGAAAAACGTGCAGCGTTGGCGAAAAAACTCAAGTAAATACTGTCCGGATAAATACAAATATTAAATATCTTCAATAAATGGAGAAAGCTACTTTGAATCACATGCACTCATGGAACACGCACGAATATTGTGGGGGTCTATAGGAACTAGTTTCTGTTAGTGGGGTAATCTCTGTGGCCATCGAACATATCCTTCGAAACTGGAATAGTGGGACTAACTAACCAGTAGACGCGTGGAGTCCCTATATAGTTTTGGCTAACTACACAGGGTAAGCTTTTAAAACAGGCCAATATTGCAAGAGGTTTCGTGTGATTTGCTAAAGCCTATATAAAGGTATGGTAGGATCAGTCACGGTCGATGATTTAAACTTGTAAGTATATATTGGCGATTATTTTCTGATATCTATAATTTCAAAGGTAATGAAAATCACAATTATATGCATAGTAAGTTTAGTCTGAGATTAGTTTTAGTATAGCTAGTACTTTATGCCAATGAAATGCCGTCAATGGACTTCTGAGCGAGGCTTCATCCTCCCCCTTTCTTTTATACTTTGTTGTTATTTCGAATTAATTCCGTACTTGTGTCGCGTAGACGACGTCGCCACATCGTATCTACTCGTACGCTAGATTGTTACGTACGCTAGATAGATAAAGCATAAGGTGCCGCTTCTTAAACACAGAAGAAACGTGGTTGGATAGTTTTATAGTCGGAAAGGGTTGGAATGAATCCCTGTTATTTTTTTGCGGAATTTTATTAAATCGCGTGGGGTCATGATCTTTAAAAATGACCTAATACGCTCAACGGATGAATTAAATTCGTTATTTGCTTAATTGGTCGTAATGGCGGCAACACCTAGCGTGTTGATGTTTCACACGACTTTTGAAGACAGTAACAAAAAAGCGAACGAAGATGCTTAGAGTAGTCCTTGAAGTTAACCAGATCTCGTAACACTTATTTTATTTAGTTATCACATCTGAAAACATTTGCCACTAACTACACATTTATTTTAACTTTCAGATTGTTTTTTTATTTTTATGATTTGTGTTTTTTTTCGAATAGATGACATCCTATCCTACACTCAAGTATCCATTCAATCATGTTGAATGGCTTCGGTTCTTAGGGGGGTTTCTTGAGGTTTTTCAAATTTTACGCAGCAGACGTGATGCCACGGAAGAACTGCTACAACGAAATAGCGATAACTCGACACTAACCAATAAAAAATATGCATTTCGATGTACTTGGATGTTTCGCGCGGATAAACCTACCGCACAGCTCCGTCCCTAGTTAATGCGTTATTTATCCAATTCAATATTTCTGACCGCTTTTTACCGGACAAACTTATATGATTTCCCCAAAGCAGCCAGACTTTTCAGTTTTCCAGTTCGCGGGTAGGCAGGACTCCTTCTAATGAATAAATAACTTTCAAGGAAGTGAGAGGAAAAGGGAACGGTGGCATATGAAACGCACTCGAGGATCGAATTGCAGCAACGATACTTTGCCCCTAGTCGTCCATTCATACATCTGATACTTTTATATAATTCGTTGACAAAATCTCTAAAGGTGTGTCGTCTCAATGAATCAAAGTCTAATGTATGTGCAGAACGATATGAATGGTTAGATATCCGACTCACGTTTTGTCGGACGCTAGACAAGCCCACCACGGTTCCACTGTGAAACACATCAAAAGGCAAAAAGTATATACGCTAGTCGTTCTTTTCTAGCTGCCACCGCAATAGGTTTCACATGCTCTAAGAGCGAAGCATTTTACCGGAATGTTTGTTGGGGCAAATATATGCACATTGTGAAAATGAACAAACTATTTAAATGATAGGAATGTATCGGTTAGAAAATGAAGACCTTGCTATAAGGTGGATTGTTATCTGTTTCTTTTAATGGGAAAATAAACCAGCATCGCATTCACTAACAGGCCTTACAAGGATCACAACATATTTTTTATGCCGTCAAGTGGTGGAGTAAGAGACGCTTATTCGGTTAGAGCCGGTGCAATGACGCCGAGTGGCTGCACATAATAGTGGTAGGCACAAGTTCTATTTAATGACAATGTTAAGCAAAGTATACAGCTGATAAATTCAGCACTGGTAAAAAAAATTACTAAAAAGAGAATTTGAGATAATGTGGGTTTTTGTTTGCATTAATGTACGTGGTGGATCCTATACTTCACTGATGCTCCTCCTGTTCGAATTCTTATGAAGTCCGCGTTCTACCCTGTGACGTTTTAACGCAGCTAAGTAATATCAGTGAGCAGAAATGGCCGTGAATTTAATGATGTTATTTCAGACATATATTTGGAAAAACGAATGAGACTTCCCCATGAAAGACAACTTGGTATTCATGTCCAGATCTTTTGCAAAAACTTTATTTACTGTGATATTTTGTGCGTATTCTTGACTCGATGATAGGTTACTAGGCCATAAAGCTCACACTTGATAAAGAAAAAACTTTCCTATAGGCCCTCATTCTGCTAAACCTCGTTCAAATCACCGTGTGAATCGTTCCAACCACTCGGTCGCAGCAGTGCCCTGCAAGTCCTTGCCACACGTGTTAAACACATAACAATTATACTTCTAAATTCTTCCAGTCTAGCTGGGGCCACCACACGTGAAGGCTAATTGCTATAGAAGTTCAAAATATAGTACATGAACAATGGTACTTTATAAGGAAAAAAAAGATCGTTTTAGCAGCTCAACAGGATCTCAGTAATGCACGATAATGCACTCCTATAAATTTTACTGATTCGTTCTGCTCATTTGATTCAGGAACGTAGCGCGCATGGATTTGCCCAGTACTCATTATTATAATTATCATTGTGATTATAATTACAAAAGATATAATTAGATGTAATTTTTATAGTCCTAACAGCTATCTCTGTGCCAATGTGTACTTGTAAGCAGTATGTTAGACAAACCCTAACAGACGACTAAATGCGCAAATATCCCTTTAGGATATCTTAATAATCGTAATAAGTGGGCAAATTAACAGACGTACAAAAGTCTTCGTACTGAGGCGCAAACAGGAAATTCTCTATTATATTGCATGCATTTAAAAAATAGCCTTTTTCGTATACGATACTTCAACAGCGTAGCTCTAACCTCTCTAAGGTCACTATATTTCCTAATCTAGAAATGTTATCAGCAACAGACCACACAATACGATATTAACAAAAAATATCTTTATTAATTGTCCATCATCAGCACTAAGTTACTTTACTATATTTCCCCAGCCATTGCCCACAGTATGTATGTATGTATGTATGTATATATTATGTAAGTACTTCACATAGATTCTTGAACATTTCATTTATGTCTGTATTTCAGTGATCTCGAGTGATGAGTATTCCGCATTATGTCTTTACAAATGAAGTATTATTGTTCGACTCTTTGCATCATTTAATCGCTTCGCTGCTGTCAGCATAAGTAATGTCGTTTGTTTCGTTGTCTTCCTCTTCTTCACTGACCTGATACCGGAACTTCTTCAAAACGCATAGCAACAATTAGTATCTGTACGTCTGTGAACGTGTGTGTTATTACCTTTTTTTCACGCGTTCTATAAGCGATTTTCTGACAGCTTACCGACTATCATGTCTCTGTTCGTGTTCATCATTCGCTTGCGTATAGGTTTTTGCATGAACCGGTTCCTGCCTGACAGGACGTGCTGTATAACGTATCCATCGGATTTTTCGCCACGATTGAGATCGGAGGTTTTTTCGTTTCTTTCTTTAGTATTACTCGTAGTACACCCAAGCGAAAACGCCAAAAAAAAATTAACGAACTGTTTAATACGGACGGAGCCTTTGCCACGGATGTAGAGATTCAAGGAGAACATCTGTAGGGAAAGGCAAGCGTTCGCTCAGATGTAAATGTAGAACGATTCTGTTTTGTAACAGGCTCATATGTTGCTGTTGTACAATTTATTATAGAGTTATACTGTTTCATATATATGTCTGCCACTATATTTGTTCTTTTTTTATTTTGTGGATACCTCATTATTAAAATATATGCTTTTTCTCATCGTGCCGTTGCATTTGAATAACAAATCAAGCCCAATCGTCGTCGAGCTAGCAAGCCACCTACGTATAAACAGATCCTTTTTGTCATATCCGTGAGGAGGTATCATCGTTGCCTTTAATCTTTTTACTATATCATTCACATATTTGGTTAATTAGGTACTATATAAGGATAATCTAATAAATAATACTGAAAATAAACGACGTATAATATACCGGGTGACGAAAAATCGGTTCTTCCGTTCCGCCTTAAGCAGTTGGGGGCTACGAAACTGTCGACAGTGACGAGGGTGATTTCAATGTTGTTGATAATACTTACAAAGACCAAATAGGGTAAAAGCCTAGCCTAATATTCCTTTTTAATCTTAAATAATACGTAGTGTAATAATATAGATAAGCGTCTTACGGGGGTTTGCTTAATTAAAGATGGCGTTGACGCCTTAATCTGAAAGAGGTTCCCGATTTTGACGCACGTATTCGAAAGCCCTTAGCCGTAACCCTGACAACTTTAAGTGTAATGGAACGGAAGAGTGAGCACTCACCCCTATACAAACATAATAATACATCCATTGCATCTAATATTGAAGAGAGGTGTTGCATGTTGCGATCTCAAGTGCTTAACTCGTTTCCCAGTCTCTCCTTTGATTTGTGAACTGATTTAAGTTTGCATTTGTTGCAATCTGAGGCTAAAAATATCACACGAAGTTAAACTTATAATACTATAAAAACAAACAATATGTTGGTCATAAAATCTTGCAGCTGCTTCTGACTTTCTGGTTCTTATATACTAAGTACAGCTCTATTCACAGGTCTGTCTGCTCTCCTGGCTGCATCCCTTGTTCCGTCAGCACGCTTCAGCGGCTGAAGTGATAACGTAAATGAAAAGTTCAAGTTGATAACTTATTGGCCGCAATATGATTGTGTATAAGAATTTGATTAAGTTACGCACTTTGGTTAGAGATATTTCTGCTAATTTTTGCCCCCCCTGTCTCGCTTCGTTGTCTGCCTTTAAAGTCACTAACTCTCATTATGTGAGATTTCTGTATTATGATATGAAGACTTTGTACTGCTGGCCATCGCGAGGTTGCTTGATGCAGAAACGTTGTTGCGTCATTGTTGATAAATCTGGCCCTATGTAAGGGTATGAATCTCGACGAGATTTCATACATTCTGTCAGCAGCGAATTAGTCCGTTGACTTCATTTCATTGGAGTCGACTACCTCACAACCTCAGTTCACACATATGAGTCGTATCTGGCTATATAATAATATACTTATTTCTAATAGAATGTTGTCGATGTCGATTGCTCGGATCAACAAAGCTATTCTTGATGTCCTACCTCGTCACCTATAGCCATAAATGCAGCAAAACTTGAGTATAAATATGAGCGCCTGCTTTTGACGATATCAATAGTAATGATAACAATAATAGGAAGTCGCCCTCATTGGTGATCTTAGATGCTATTTGCTGCTATATTGAGGTAACGCAGTTGAGGCTACAGCGATTGAAGTATCTATAGCGTCGTTAATTAACATATACTAATTGAGAGAGCATCTTATTTGTCATCATACTTATTGTGACGCGTCGCCAATAGGTGGAGCGGGTGTGGCTGTGTGTGTGTGAGTGTGTGTGCGTCAGTAATTGTGTTCCGTAATTCCGAGGTCGTGCCATCCTGTGATCAGGACATTCAGACGACTGATGATCATGAGTATTTATGTGGGGTCCTTCGTTTACTTCTGCCGTTACCATCGTCGCATCGATTTAAGGAGGTCTCCTTGTTTCACAATTAAAGCATCGTTGGTTGGCCCAAACGTGGGCCAGCGGTGGGCGGCTTTACCCCCTTTCGTCTCACACATCGTAGACCCGATAGATCTTCAATGGAGCACTTAATTCCGTGTCGCACTGCATTCGTCATGCACAAGTTAAATATCAATAGATTATACGTATATAAACAAAACGGGATCGTGACCTAGGAAGTATCGTTAAAACCAATCAACGCAAATGTCGCTTAGTAATAAATGCAACTATGATAATTCCATCGGGACTAACGTCATTTTACTGCTCGCACGAGGTTACTGCCTAGTCTCATCATGTGTTTGAAACAATGTTGAACGGCAGTAGCAGACGGACAAACTCAAACTTCGGCGTACCTACGCGCGTCTATCGGTGAACAGCGAATTTCCACTGGCATAAAAGTTGCTCTTGTGTAAAATGTAAGTGGCCGGCTTATCTATAATTGTTAATAATGCTAAGAAATATGGAGCCATGTGTGTTGGCTGGGTGTACCCAAGTGGCAGGTCAAGTATTCCGACCCGAACGTCTTTACCCTACCCATGAAATAGTTCGATTAGCAGGCGTCGCTCAGCAGGCGAGCAGCGGTGCTCTCCACTTAGTTACACTTTAAAGTAAAACTTAAATCCGAAAGCGCAGTTTTTCCGGCTGTGATTTCCTGTTACGGTAGCTGATGTGAAGCCTCCATGTTTTCTGTTTGTCGTCGTCGCGTTGTTGCTGACGTCGGCGGCGGCGGCGGCGGCGGCGGCGGCGGCGGCGTTGCTGGTGTTGTTGTTCAAGGCGCGCGGATCTAATCAGTGTGTATATAGCCGTTCCTGCTCGTTCGCTGTAGCCGGAATAGTCATTATAGTGAATAAGTGGTGGGGGCGGGCCAGCATCAGGCGATTGTTGGTGATTGACCCTAGCCAGCCAACAACTGTGTTCAGTGCTTCAATGAGGTTCTGTCGAGTCCCTGCCGCAAGACCTGTGTGAAAAACTGACGAATTGACCCGTGGCTTTTTCAGCCGTTTCAGTGCGCGAATTGCGCCGTGCTGCCGTGACACCTCGCACATCGTCACCAAAAGCACCCAGTACCACAGCCCCTGAAATCTGCCTGGCATCCGAAAAAGAACGCTGTTTTCATGTACGTTGCCATGTGAACAGATCGGGTCGACGAGGCGCTTTAGTTTAAACAAACCTACATTAGAACTATGTTTCATGCTGAAGATAGTACACTTTGCAATAGTAATTTCAACTTTGCAGTAATACTTCATTAATGACAGTTACATCTAGATCTAATAATTTCGTTATACATATTTATATTAGCGTACATTATATATTGCAAGGAGTCTGTCTATTCGATGCCCGGTCTAGTGCAGTGTCAATAACAAGACGCAATCGGCACGACATCAGTTATGATGGTGTGACGTAATAATGTTTGTTGGTTCTAGATCGTATCGTGAGAGAAGTGCAACCGTGATAGCGGCGCCAAAAACTCAGGTCGAAGTAAAGAGGCGCGTGCCCTTTTTAGTGGCTCGCTGTGTCCTCAGTAGGTAGTTAATAATGTTCAGAACGAAGCGTACGAGGTGAGCGAGGTGAAGTAATTAGTTGAAGGAGGGCTGCTGCTGTTGCTGCAGCTGTTGTTGAGGTTGCTGGCGCCTCCGCCACTACTGCTGATAATATTGTTGTTGAAATGGTGCAGTTGACTAGCTCCAAGACCGGCAGGGATCGGCATATTCGAAACGGTGGAGTTCTCCGTTGGGTACGAAGGTCCGCTTAATGAGACCACTTGCACAGGATAACATGAGTAGACAGGGTACCCCCAACAGCTAACTACCTGTGATGATATCGGAGATGCCAGAATTGCAGAAAAATTGTTTGGAGGATCTGTCTGAGTGGCTGCGTCCGCCGGAGGCGGATCGGTCTGAACACCCACAGATTTACTGACCGTTATTTGCTTTTCGGAGCTTGCCTTCGTCCGATGCGGAACAGTGATCGATGTGTCGACGCCGAAGGAAGCCGCCATCTGAACGGCTTCTTTGCGGGACAAGCCTTGCTTATGGACCAGCTGTTGAATGGTGAGCTCTCGCAAACGAGACGGACAACCAACGTGTCGCGAGTGGTGAGGTCCGCCACAGTTTAGGCAGGTTACTGGCAGTGTACAAGTCGCGGAATCCACATGCTCAAACGACCCGCATCGAAAGCAACGTGGCTTACGGCGGCACCGATCGTGGCCGTAGTGTAGACAACGAATGCACTGCTGCACGTGGGTACCCTCACTCGACCCGTAGTCACTCGTAGCATGCGCGACATGCGGGTCGTGCACTCCCAAGGGGCCCAGATGGACGTCATGTACACCTAGAGGTCCCAGGAGGCCCTGGCGGCTACCGAACGATCGCTCACTGCTAGGTGTTGCACTCGCCGTCCGAGCAGGCGAGACCGATCCCGACGTATAGATTGACATGTCGCTAATCGTCTACAAAGTTTCAGATAGATCACACACACCACAAGTAGTAGGTCTAAATACAGCACGAGCCCGCACAACGAACTGTGAAAACAGCGGTCACACATGTGTCGTCGACAACAATGCGATCTTTACGATCTTCATCTGCGATCAGATCTGACACTTCGAACTTGCTTTTTCTTTGCTACGGGAAGACACTGATTCAGCTGCTTCTTCTCATTGTTTGTTAGCGGTAAAAGGTATCGTCCATTGAGCGAAAGGCATCAGCGTCCTAGTGAACCGTAGCGGCATGTTGAGGCAAAAATATCTGTGTACTTTTTTGCTCTTAATAAACGTTGTTATTATTATCGAGTGACAAATGGGAGAGAAGATATTTACGATAAGAAAAATCATTTTATTTTCTGTCAGCTCTGCTAGCGCTGACACTGACCCGATTGTTGACTTAACATGGTCGCATTGGATATTTATTTGCTTTATTTGTCGTCGATGCTGATGTAGTAGTAAAGTAACAGCAGTACTAGTAGTAGTTGTAGAAGTAGCAGTTGTTGATGTTCGGTTGCGGTATTGAAATTGACGTAGTTGTTGAGTTGATGCAGCTGATTGAATTTACAGGGTGTTGCAGGTGCTCGTGGATGTGTACCTGCTGAACGGTGAAAGGTGACCATTGTACATTCATGTTGAAACACGGTGACAGTCATCATATACAGATTGTTGGTTAAATGATGATGATGTGAGAAGTAGCTATTTATATAAGTGGCGATAATAAGAAATGAACGATCTGCGCCTTGGATAGCGTGAAGGACAGGATAATGAAAAAAAAAAAGGTGACTATTTTTTATAAACTATGCCAGCGACACAACATAAATCAAGTAGGACGTGCAGTCGTATCTTGGCGACACTATTGTTAACAACCAAATACCGACTAAACTTTGCCCACTATTGTCACAATTTGAACTCAATTTCGCCATGCATAGGTGTAGAATGTAGCAGTACGGTTGAGGGCAATATCGATTCGATAATATGCTTCTGTCGACGTGGACTGTTCCAAACGCGCATTTATAGAGAAATAGAGTTAAGCCAACTAAGACTACAGTATTAGGGTAAATGGCACAAGCAGAACCCCTAGGTGATCCCTGAGCCACGCAATTTCCAATATTTATATAGAAGATGAGTGAAATAAAGCAAGTGAGAAAAAAAATGCCAAGACGGTCATAATTTCAAATTCGTTCATACGAAAAAAATACTTCTCCATCTCGTTTTGCACGTTGACCCTCTGCTTCCTCTCCTTCAACAGAAACACGCATAGAGTACTGGGAGTGATAAATGTTGACCCAATGAAAAAAAAAAAAGTTTATGAGATCGTCAGCGTAAGCGCCTAAAAACCTCAAGGATGCACCTCCGAAAAACCGATAGTTGATTCAGCTAGTTTGGTGCTGCGTGCTCTCCGTCTGAGATAGCGATGTCTAACGGTGGCTCGAAAACGTCTATGTTCTAGCAGTAACAATAATGCATCGCGTTTATACAGGAACAGAAGTTCTGAAACAGCAACGGCCCCGGAGCCAAAGTGAACAAAACGCTCGCGGCACTTTGGCACGCTGGTCCGACAATTCTCAGAGCAACCACAACATACTCATACGGAGTCAGACATCAGTAGCGGCTATAACAGCGCGAGTCGTTATCCGGGCGCCGCCCGATTGCATAGACAGCGCGTCAGCGTTACAGAAAGACACTCGAGCGCAGAAAAAGGGGCAGGCGTCGACAACAACGACGATGACGACGGCGACAACAGCAGCGGCAAGAACAACAACATAACTACAAGCGCCGGCCGTCATGGCGGCGCTAACCGCTGTCCGGCAACAGCAACAGAAGCAGTAGTTGTTGTCCGTAGCCATCGCCGTCAGCGCCTGCCGCTGATAGCAGCAGAAAAAACGGAGACGAACGAAGACGGACGGGCAGACAGACGCAAACGCCGACGAACGGAACAGTCGAAACTGGATATGATACTCGAACCGGTTATAGCAGCAACATTATCATTAGCATATAACAACGTGTATGCATGTCCGTCTGGCTGTAATTGCTACAGTAGACGAGGGATCTCCCGCGAAACCTAGCTAAGCAACTTCTCCAACACATCACGGAATAACCTGTTCTACCTATATCATAACAACAGCGATCTTGCCGCTTCCGCGGTGCGAAGTCCGTCGTCGGCCGCCACCACTTATGTCCAATAAACGGACACCGACCATCAGTAGCAAAACGAGCGACCAAACGAATGACCGGCGTCAGGCCATCCATACCAGTTAGCGGACACAGCGCACGCTGGCTGCTGCTACTGACGGCAGCCATCAAGCAGCAGCAGCAGCAGCAGCAGCACGGTTAAGTCGGGCGAGCCGCGTCGAGCCAAGCGTGCTGCCAGGCCGTATTCTTACGATGTGTTGCCTAATTGTTGTTTTTTGGCCGATACAAACCTTGTCTCTGGCAAGCGCAGTGCGGTGCAGCACTCGCCGCGTAGCATGCTACGTCACATAGGAACAATAAAAGAAAGGATCAGTCTGGAATGAGTGCCCCGCTACTGAAATCAGCCCAGCGACCTGACCGACGGAAACAAGCTGGAACTGTTCTTTCAGCGCTCTAACGCAGCACACATGGAGAATTGCCACAGAGATCGTTGCTGCTTTGCGCTGTACAAACGCTGACTCGCATAAAGAGCGTACGCGTAGGACGAACGATGGGTCGGTGCAGATTCTACACAGAGGAACGTGTATGTCCACGCATGAAGTCGTGCCGCATCGCACAGCCAAATGCTCGCTAGATGGTTATGATAAGGGTACGACGAAACGGAAAAGACAGAAAGAGGAAGTAATCTAACCGGCTGATGTTCAGGTTAGGGAACGCCTTGAAGAACGAGCGCCATAGAACCTTCTATCAAAGCCGCCAATATGCGTCGTGGTAGGCAGTGACTGAATAGCCATAGCCAGATGTAGTGACGCTTGATGATGACGACGGTTCACGCTCAATATCTCGATAATTCTTCCGTTAACTTAGCTGTCGTCCATTCTGCGCACTTTATTCTTTCTCCACGTAATTCAACTTTCTCGGTTTTTGTTGTTGTTACGTTAGGACAGCTGTGTACCTGATGACAGTTTGCTTTGACAGGCAAACGGCGACGAGTAAGAGAGAGCGGTCGATGTCCTTTAGCCAGGGCGTACAGTCGACGGTATAAGCCAACTTTAATTCACTTGACATTGCTCCCACTGAATTGAGAAGGGTTGAGCAACAAGAAACAGAGGTCAGAGCAATCCTGCTTCAGTAAAAATAGAAACTCCGTATTTAACATCTTGCGTTTGCCTGTCTGTATTCATGTGTGCGTTTGTGAGGAGACCTTTAGTCAAACTTTGCTATCACCACAGTGGCCCCGCTGTCAACGTTAGACAACAGCGGTGACGATCGCAGAGCCGGTCGTATGCTCATGGTGATAGTTTGCCACGGTCGATGGTCGGGCGATGCCTCTCATCTCAAGAGAGATGAATGCTGATCGCCATCACGAAACGCAATAGACGAGAGCCATCGCGTCATCAGCAGCAGCATCGCAGCAGACCAGATCAGAGCGTCATTATGAACGCGGGCGCTAGTGTAGATGTCGATCTGACTGTGTGATCTAGCTACGGTAGGATGGTACGAACAGCAACGAAATGCGAGCCTTCAGAAACACTCGAAGCACAATAAACAACAGCAGCAGCACGCTATAACGACAGGCCATTCGTCGCTAGCCAAGCGTCCCTGTTTGCCAGAAGCAGCAAACATCACATCAGTCAGTCAGTCAGTCAGTCAGGCGAAAGAGCGAGAGAGATGCCCGATGTGCATCCATCTAGCGCAACGAATCACACAAAGAAAAGGAAAAACGCAAACGTCGGCCTGACCGCCCCCCGCCCGCCCGCCTGCCCGCGTGGCTCCCCCTTCTATCTGTTTCTGCGCTGTTTGCCGCAGTTCAACGTTCATCGATCCGGCGTTACAGAACAGCAGAGAATCAACTAATGATGTGATGCTGCTCTGCGTCACCTAACTGCTTTCGCAGATTCACAACGGCTGCCTTAGTCGCTGCCACAGTGGCTGCTATTAGGCGAAGGGTAAAGCGTGCAAGCTACGCCCGCAAGCCGACCGTCTGCGCAAGGCGGCGTAAGTAGTGCTCAGAATAAATTGATCCGCTCCGTGCTACGGGCATTATTGCCCGTCGCAGGGCTATCGGCACTGAGTTGATGCAGCAAAAAGAAAGCACTGAGCAGTACTGAACTACAGCTGGCTTTCCTTACCGAAAACCGCTATTATAATAATCCGAACAGCAGCAGATCAGTTGCGGTCGACGGGTAGATTTGGTTCCTGTCCGCAATACTTTCTAGAATCGCAAAAGTTTATTCAGCTGATCAGCTAAAGCAGGGGGTACTTAGTTGTGCAAGAGCAATAGTCCAGAGTATGCCGGAACCGCCTATAACAGAAGCTTGCCTCGACGAAGCAATCTAGCTTAGATAAGTAAAGCTTCGTTGGTTAGCAAGGCAAGCGTCAGAAGCGAACACCGGACGTAACAATGTGTCAAGCGCTCATCGCTATAGGACAATACACCCTATTACCATATATAAGAATAATGTTTGCCAGCTCAAAAGGGAGTCGAAAATTGTTTTTGGAAACGTCTCAACTATTTTGTGCTCATTAGTACTAATTAGTATGAACATAAGCTCCAAAATGAGTTTTTAACTAATCTGTGATAGTTCGGACGCTTGAGCATTTCGAGATAGAAGTTATATCGTTGACAATGTGAACCACAAACGTTGACAAAACATTGCCGCATTGACATAAGCGAAGACAGCTATGCCTATACGTGCTTTTCGAGGCCAGTTAAAGCTGTTGTTGTTAAAACCGACGGATCACTCAAAATTACGCAATGAAACGCTAGTAGATTGCAATAAGGACAAAATCTCTACTTTAGCCAATAATTGATTTCTTAGGATTTTTTCCTCATATTACTAACAAGCATTTACGATGGTCTTCTAGGCCAGAGTGAGAAAAGTTAACGTGGCTCAATATACACTGCGCATATTTCCTTCCATCGTACACGGGGAGATCATTTGTACAATAACCTGTATGTGTCTAGACCCTATGAGGTATACAGGCAAGAAGAACATCGGTGTTCTTTGTTGAACGTTGCGTCGCAGTCAGTCCATTTTCACATCTTAACCTCGATAGACGAGTCCAAAAGTTTTCGGAGAAATGATGTTGGGAAAAATACGGGTGGTTGGACAGAACAGATATGATGTTATTTGATGCTAAGTCAAGGTCCGATGAGGTAGCAGGGTCGCTATTACGGGATCTGGTTATATGAGCTGACCGCTGATCAGCGTTTTGGAGTGCGTTTCGAAGAAGTGGAAAACAAAGGAAGGTGTTTGGAAACACGACAACACGAAACAAAACGGGGGCAAAATGTAAGCTTACCTCATCAAGTGGGTGCACGGTGGCTGTGTGGTGAGTTTGGTGCGGTGCGGGGCCTGCGGGCCGCCACCCGATGCATCCGCCCGTGCTGCGGGGCACAGGGGGCTTACGGCAGCCTCACGATGGCTCCACTCGCTCACAGTGTTTATCCGCAGCGCGTTATCGACGTGCCGGCCCCTCGCGGCGAGCTCACATCGACTTGTGAGTGCCCCGCTAAGGAGGCCATCCTCTTAGCAAGCGACTCTCGGCTTCTTACTTGCTACTAGTCTCGAATTATGTTGTGCGAGCACTGTTATGATTGTCGTTGCCCGGCAACCGACCGCCGGTTGTTCACTTGGTCTGTTTCGACGACAGATTGACACAGCCAAGCTCAGAGTAGCGCGCGATGAAAACACAGGTTAAAACTCCAACTTCAATTCCTACTTTATTTCGCTCTGCTCTTACTTAACAGACAAGCTCTGGAGCAGTGCGCGCCGAAGTTGAGGACGGTTAATGTACAAACAGCCGCACGCAGGACTTCAAAGGACAACCCCTCCTCCCTGTTGCTAACATGAAAGCACTGATCGACGACAACACTCCGTCTCACTCCTTAGCACTCGGCCGAGTACGTCTCCAACGGCTAACAATACTCTAACAGTTTCAGCTGCTTTGACGACGGAGCCCGGCCAACTACAAAAGCGCGCTACAAATGCTACTGGAATGGCCGGCGCCGCACTTCGGGGCGCGGTTCGCTCGCAGTGCTCCTGCTCCTGCTCCAGCCGTTGCTGCTGCGACTTCTGATGTTGTTGTCGCCGTCGTCTTCGTGGTGGCGGCTGCTGCTGCTGCTGCTGCTGCTGTTGCTGCTGCAGTTGCCGTCGCCGGAACATGGAACACGGCGCGCGTCGCGGCAATTTTTCGGCACTCGGCGCTTAGCTCTAGCCAAACTACAGCAGAGCACTGCGTAATACACTACTCTACTTCACAGGAACGGACGGATGGATGGCTGCTGACTGTACAGAAACAGCAACACTTCACCACCGATGCAGGAAGCAACTTCACCGTGTTCGCCGGTAACCCAATGCAGAGCATCGGCACTAAGAGTATAGACAGATACACCGGTTCTTACTTCTGATCTCACGTCCACCGTCGTCGCTGTATTATTATTGTTGTTGTTATTATAAATAAAAAAAAAACGCCTTCCAACCAACAGCCGCCAAACTCTCTGCCGTATGCTGCCGTTTCAGCTCGGGCGACTTCACGACGAACGCCCTCCCAGCGTAGTACTGACATACGCGAACAATTTCGTTTAGCAACTAATGATTTCGAAAGCAAACAGCTCTCCCAGTAGTACGCGACGCACTTGTCGGTCCATAGGCCACCAGTTACTGTTGTTGCGTGGCGGTCTCCGTTACCACTAGCGGTCCGCGTTTCTCAGCCACTCGGATTGTACATGGGCTCCGATCTGTGTTCAAGGATACACATACGCGACCAAACACCGCTAGAGCGACTTCTTCATTCTAGCTTTATTAGATACTAGCTTTTCGTTGTGTCTGATCGGCTGACCGAGTAAGTAAATCGCCGGAATGTCGCGCGGACGCAGACCGTGCGCCCGCACATAGCCGCACGCTTTCCTCTCTTATCGCCTATCTATAACTATGGCCTACTAGTAATAACAGTATTACCGATTATTGCGTCAAAGACGCCCTTATCGAGATCGCCGTTCAATACGCATTAGCACATTGTAGGAGCATACGTCCGATGTGTTAGCTCTACCCGAGGCTCAACCACACCCACCTTAGACAAAGCCATCTGTACAGATGCGTTGCTTCGCATTGAACTAGGTCTTCTATTACCCTTCCGAACATATGGCATAATTTGTATCTGTAACATCGCACTTAAACAGAGAAAGCGTTAATAAGATATAGCAACAATAATCATAATCATAATGTCTCGCAATCGAATGAGAGATAGAGGGAGAGGGAGAGGGAGGGAGAGAGAGAGAGAGAGATAAATAAAAAAGAGCGAAAGGAAAGCACAAATAATTGTGATACAACTTTGCGGCTCGAATAGCTCATTTGTTAACACCCGGCTGGTAGCTTCCATCTCCGATAGATAATTTTTCATCTTCGCTGACTCTCTCCAGTGACGGCACTACCCCGTGAGCGGGCGACACAGCCCTCGCCATGCGTCGCCCTCGCCCTCTGCCTCACCGTCACGGAGAGACGGAAAAACTGCGGTGGCTTCAAGTTAAATCGACGTGGACGACAACAATCATCCTACCGTCACCCGTCATGCGCATACCTCCATTTTGGCTTAGCATTAACAATGACAAAAAAAGCAAATTGACAGTTGTGCCAGAGTGTGGCAACTGGTCCTCGCATAGCTAGGCTTTGCCTGCTTCGCCGTTGAGGCTGTTTCAGCTGATGTTCGTACCACCACAGTCACTAAGTTTATCGCCGTTGTGAGAGTCTCTAGAGCGTGCCGGGCCTCTTCGACCTGATGTTCTCTGCGTAGTAAATCCAACCGCTACGCCAGCTTTGATCCGTCGGCAGTTCCCAGTTCCATTCTCTCTACTATTCATTTTCCCTCTGAGCCAAGTGTCCTTCTGAACAGGGAGAGCTCAAATCACCATTATCGCGAGCAAGTCCAACTTGTACTTGCTTGTAGTGAGCTGAACCAATGAAAAATGAGCAACTGCTCTGGACTAAGTAGCTAGGGAAGCGGCGAGTGTTGCTGATCGCATGTGAGATGCAGAAACAATCGGCTGACCAAGACCTCTCTCATGGTAACAATGCCCAAAAAAAATTTTAAATTACCGAATAAATCAAATTAACGCTCAAGCTAAAAATAAAATAGCATCATTTATGTCATCGTTTATATAAGTGCAGTAGATTATATTTCACAGTAATTTGGGTCGATGCGAATCATTTGCCGATTCGCTGAGCACGCGCTTCGCTGATCTGGCCTGAACTTCTTCGCTTGAACAGGCCCACCGACGAGGTCCATCGATCCTCATTTAGTCTAAACAGGGTCCTTTCAGACTCAGATGGACTGAAAGGTGGTCTCATATGGCGGCCTATGACTAGTAGCTTCTTGTCAGTGTTCGGTGAATTCAAGCCTTATCTTTCCCTCATCTCTGTGCAGCATTCATACGTGTCTTAATATAATTCTTCAACCGTCGTTTAAGCCTGCATGCGTTGCCAATGCATCTAAAATTGCTAAAGATGAGAACAGTTTCCATTAAAATTCGAACGAAACGACAGGTTGCGCTGGTTCACTATTGTCCTGGGGCACAACAGACGCACTACAGCTGGGCACAAACGTAGGCTGGGCTGGGAGAATCACCAAATAGTCTGGAATCAATCCAACAATCCCGGTACTTCCGTTGCCAGCTCCACAGTTGAGCAGTTAGAAAGTCGACCTCTTTGGGACTGTACTGAAGAGGCTCGATCGCAGGATTCCATCATACACTGTTGTTCAGCTCATGTTTCGTATGGCGTTTTGTATTAAGCGGCTATTTATGTGCTACGGACTTGATAATAAAATCTCGCGTTTCATTTGGTATGCCTAGAGTCTAGTGGTTGCCTAGAGGAACCCGCCCTAAATAGGAAAAAAAGAAATTGCCGAAAGACTTCTGTCCATCAGAAGCTGATTTACTTTATAACTAATCACAAATATTGTAAACCATTACATGATATCTGCAAACAATATTTAATATTTATAAAAAAAAAAAAAAAAAAAACCTAACATTTTGTATAGTCAACGAGTGACGCATAAAGACACATTTCGATATTTTTATAAGCGATCATTTACAAGCGAACTTTCTAAACCGCACCTGCAGTTCTCTATAAAACGCACCTATTTACATAACATAACTAAAGTAGCATTACGATAACTTGTAAAAGTTAATGTTTCAAGTTTTCCGTCGGGAACTACGTTAAAATAATATCAGTCGGCCGATTTATTGCTAGAAGTAAACGTGGCACAAAGCAAATCTGGTAACGTGTGAGCCTTGTGGCATTCTCTGTCGCGTACCATGCCAGTCGGTGACACGAGCAAAGTATTAGTAATTATCTGAGTATATTAATATTCGGTACTATATACACCATTTATATACCATATAAAATCTATAGGTAAGAAAATCCGCTCATCTCAAATACGTGCTTAAAATGAGTTTATCCTACAAGGCCTGTTTATGTAAGCTTCATGATTATTCAAGAAGATTTTCAGCAGGCCATGCCGTAAAGCTATGTACGTACTGAGTTCCGTTGAACTCAGTTTCGAAACTAATAATTTTCCAAAAGCAACTTCCGTAAAGAGCTAGGCACAGAGTTGTAACGTTCCAGAAGGGTGTACCCTCCGTGCCTCCGAAGTTGTTTTTGGTTCAATTCTATATCTCGCCTGTTTTTCTACCAAATGTATGTTTCGGCCATTCGGGCTGTGCAGTTGCTACAGGGTATATGTTAAGATTCGCATGGTCATCCTTTCTGTTTACTGTATTACTTCAACGTTTTAACATGTCTAGCTGAACTATGTAAGAAATTGTCTACTTTAAAACTAAACCTAAACCTAAACAATAACTCTTATACAACATGTACAATCGAACGCATTGCCTAAATTTCCTAATCTTTGAAGATTTTAGAAATATATTTTGCCAACAGGTCAAGTAGGGTTATATCAAAATAGTATTCTTATATATATATACTTACTTCAGTTTGACACTATTCGATATTACCTTTTCGGGATGCGCGTGTCAGGAATCCGATGGACAAGCGGCCGATTAAATCAGCGTGTTTTTTTGTCGATGTGGTTTGCACAATAGTAATAATAAGGTTTCAAAAAATTGTGTTAGCTAACAATGACATCGAATACACGGTTAGGCTTTTCTTACTGCCGTCGAGATCAGCCGGATAATCTCAAAATAGATCTTGATCGCTACTTTTGCATGTTAGCCTTGGCCTGATGGGAAAACTCTGCACTGGTAACCTTATGCCCGGAAGAGCTTGTTCTCAGGTTTACAAGGTGCACAAAGCGATTTCGAAGGCTTGAATGCATCCACATGTACATTCGCTCATAGCTTGAAAATTTCCGACGCGCGTTGTGCAGCTATTGCCATCGCTGAAAACCAACGCGTTATCGTTTACGCTACGTATACTATTTCTGTTGTAGGAGAAAAAGCGTTACGGTAATACCCTGTGCGTCCTCATTATAGTGCAGTGGTTTAATTGCATGCCTTTTAAATTGAGAAATATGTAGTGCTCTAAGTTCGCCGCCGGGCAGCGGCACAGGGCATTTCGTTCTGCGGGTCAGCCGCTTGAAATAATGCCGAAGGGCTAAACAGACAAACACGAAAAAGCAACAGTATCCACGTACTCGATGCTAATGAGAACTGCTACAGCTATTATAGGCAAGCGACTAGTGTCAAGACGTACGTTAATGCCAAAACTTAAAGTTAACACCAAAAAAGAAACCAATGATAGAGAACTTTTCTCATCTAGTAAAACAAATTTCGTTAAACAACAAGTCCAATGCAAATGCTACATATAAAGTTAATAAGAAAAATATGTCGCAATAAAAACAGATCGAATAAATAAAGAATCTTTTTTTTTTTCTTTGGTTTATATCATATGGACGCCGGAAGTCCAGCTAAAAATAAACTCCGAAATCAACTGCAGCTCCTCTACGAAGTACATTTCTTAATAGAAAAAGATACTGCTAACAAAAACGAAAAAAAAATATAGAAGCTAAAGGTAACAATAGTTAAAAGCTTAGATTATATAAACCAAGCAAAGTCATATCAGGAGCAGAAATCACTGATCACGGAGCTAATCAATTACCACACCTCCAATTACTAGAAAAGAAAATGATAATGAAAGTAAGTGAAGTAGCAACAGTATTATAAATTTTATTGTTAGTATTAAATAAACTAAATTGATCTAATGCTACGATACGAACAAAAATTAGTGCATGCTATTATGGAGTTGCGAAAGCGGGTACATCGAACAGGGCTCTTTCGGATACTTCTGAAAGACGCATTTTCCGCACCGAAACAACGGGGCTTCAAGGAGCCCGCTGTTTGAAAGCAAACTCATTTCTATTACATTTCATGTTTGTTTTGACACTGTTTCTGTAAATGTGAAGAAAATTAAATGGACATCTATTAACACTGCTGAAGCTTTCAAAAAGCTAGCGGATTGATTTATTAATCTCGGCTAAATCGTGTCAAGTTAATTTGGTTCATGATATTTCTATGTCTCGCAAACGATATATATGTATTGCAAACATGACGATTGTTTCCGTTAGTGCGTTTCCACTACCATCAGCTCATCATACCTGTGAAGGTTAGCACTAATGTAGTGGTAATAAGGTAGTAGCTCTCGACCAGATCAAGTGCTTTAGCCTGCCTCGTTAGATAAGCCCGCCATTTCTCGAAGCATTATGTATATATCTTCGTGAATTCAAAGAATATTGATGAACTAGGATTGGTCAACTACTACATGTCACATAGAAGTCAACCTTTTTGGCAACAAAACAAAACAACTCAAGATATCAAGTCTACCATTCTTAGAACTTTAGTAATGCGCGAATAAAAGTCTAGGATCTATAGATCCTGAATAACGCTGTCGTTAAGGTTTTAGAAAAAACGTGATCGGTCTTCGTGATTATCCAATGGTGATGTATTTATTTAAAAAGCTGAGAAACATATGAAATGGCAAAGGTTCAAGGCCGAAACACGAGGTAGGTCACCACGGACGACGATCGAAGACGTAATTGGACATGTGGTGTGAACGGGACCGACAACTCGTATTTCCCCTCTCCCCGCCCCCTACCGCGCTCGAAACCCATAAATAATATCAGAGGCGATGCTGGACCCCTATACGGATGTGTAGTGGGTTTTAGTAAAGCATTCATTAAAACCGGGAAGACTGCTGAGTAACCCCTACACTTCGGTCCCTATACTATACTACCGAGAGGGTAACGTCGGGTGTTCCAGTTGTGCGGTAACTTCGTTCGAAGTGTGAGACCGGTCGTGGGCACATTTTGGCATTTGTTAGAAGCCAGCCGGCTGAAGCAGTGTTTAATGGCGGTACCAAATCCAAGAAGTGTAAGATCCAGGAATTGATTTAGGTGAAAATATGGAAGCGAAAAGTTTGGTACTGAGATTTACATGTTGCGGTACTCGCGAACCGATACGGTTGAAGATTGTAGAGGTTCATCTTTGCTACGAGTGTTTTAGGTGGATACAGTTTCAAATAATTAGAACATAGTTTGTGAGAGATACTCAACAGAAGAACATTTTTAGTATTGACTATCGATACGTGGAGTAGAAGGGAACAGACAGACAATCATTGGAGAACCTCTGAAGGGCAACTACTTATTAAGCTTAGCCTTCCGTTTGCCCTAACCTTAAACTGACAGACATCTAGTTACACATTTTGGCTATAAATGTATCATTAGCACTACGGTTATAAAATGTTAATAAGTGGTCAACTCTTATTAAATGCTTTACAGAAATCAAAACAAAAATTATTCTTGTGACTAAGTCGCCCAATTCTTTGTTTTCGCCCAACATTTCGAGTGTTACGTCTCGTATCGTCCCTAAGCATTCCATCAGACGGCTGGGTCCCAAGGCGAAACCGGGTGTGTCTATGCCCGGGTTTAAACCTAAGCCATAACGCGGTTCTAAAGTTAGCAGGGAAATACGTATCTCACTTATAATGATATTTACGTTAAGTTGAATTTCTTTTTGGCGCAACCGTGTTGCTAATCGCCTAACGGTCCCCTGAAGGGGAGTCTCAAAACATGTGACCAACAGGAAGCGTTTTAAAAACGATGCGTTCATTTAGTTAGTAGGCCGCAGGCTGATAAGAATTAATGTAATTCTTTTAAGGGCTAATGCATTATATAGATCAGGCCCTTTTTCTGAGATATATATCGAGTCTCGTGGGACTGTTATCCGTTAAAGCGTGAAGATCAATGTCATGCTTAAAGGTCTTTTTGTATACAGGTGTGACAAGTAGGAAGCGAGGGCAATAGAACACGACCCCAGCTGTATGACTACGATAAGGAAACTAGTCTGTCTATAAATGACGGGAAGAGGACCATCAAGGTGAAACTATATTTCACCAATTCTCGTATCTTATCAGTAATAGACTCAGCCGTTATGTTAACCGATAAATAATTAAGAGTAGCATAATACATAAATTGGCTCTAATATATAATCCTATTTTAACGCATAACTTACGGTAAACCTCGTGACTTACCTTTGGTACAGAGAGTCATTGTGCATATATCAAACGACAGTGATCTCAATAAGGACGCGTATTAAAATACAAGTTTGCAATATTTATTAAACCACCAATTTGCTAGGATTAGCGTGCCAGCTATTTTGGTAGCGCTGCCTTAAGTTTATGACGTTGTCGCACACAAGCCGTCAACTTATATATCAGGCTTGTCAACTAAAACTGGGGCTATATAGGACAGCAAGCACTCTTGCGTTGTGCCATGCGCAGTTGACAATTATCATGCCCCTATCAATTCCCATTTGTATCCATCATCTAACCAACTATACATTACTAAAACCGGATAGTCATCCAATCCATCGTTTGGGGAATAAACTTATATCGAACAAAATTCGCACTTTTTTTGTACATCCACGCATACTTTAATAATGAGCGTAATACAACGCCCGCATATTGCTCTAATTTCTGAATAAATCTATATAAATTAAAACACCTCTGCAGAATAACTGATTGATCATCAACTAATTTATTTACTATACACAACTATGATAAATATATATATATATATATATATATACAGGCATGCGAAGTCGCTCATTTGTGCACATCGTCAACATGGATACAATGAGGAAAGATTAAATAATACCTGGAAATCGACTCCCTGCGCCTTTGCAGGTGCATCTTTACGACTGTAAGCCCACATCCCTTTTTTCCTATGTCTTACCGCTCAACCGTCGCTAAACGGAGAATAATGGCTTGATCACTATATGAAACCAATCTCCCATGCAACTCGGTTTTCCAAAAGACAAATATTGCAGTAGTCTATGTTACATGAAGTGTATTTTTCATAACTTAATATTATTATTTTCATAACTTATTATTATTTTCATAACTTATTTTAGAAGTATGTGATTTTTCGTTATAACAGAGCGAAAAAAAAAGTGTGTCTATGTTAATGTCTTGTTTTGCCTATTACATAGTTAATAAATAACAGCATTGTCGAGTCGAATATTCTGTAGATAAAAAAAATTTGTTCCCGCTAGTTGTTGACCACATAGCTAGTTCCTACTCCGCAACGCTAATATTCTCTCCATACTACGAATCCCGTAGGATTCGTCCTAACTGAAGCTTATCTATAATATGTGTACAGTGTTCTAAAACCTTCTCACGTTCCTTATCCTTTTATTGAATTACATCGCTATCTTTTGATAGCCTTGCTCACTCTTTCTAATTCTAGTAGATTTTATAGTTATTCTCATTAAATGTTTTTCGTAGGAAAGCACTCATGAGTAACTGGTTAATCCAATTTAACCGCAAATATAAATTGGACTTGTGTAGTATAAAATTGATTTGAATTGAATTTCCTAGCATGCTCACGGAAATCAAGATTACATTAGCAATGAAGGAAATCTTCATCTCTTATTCCCGCGTCTTGTTTTTGGCCATAAGCTAGACAGGTCGACGTTGCAATCTGGCCTGCAGCCATGCCCAGTAGATTGATAACTTATGCTATGAACTACTTATATAAGCTGCTCACTGGCATTCATCGAGAAGTCGATAATTCTCCAGGCGGCAATGGGATTCAACTCTTCGGGATCTCTGCAGAAGCACCATACGTGATAAAATCGCATGACTTTTTCGGGATCACCCTCGACGACATTTCCGGTCTTGTTCCGTACGCACTGTGTTTGCTGAGATACGAATGATACAATCAATACCGGACCCTGGCATAAAGAACACACAAATCAAGGTCGGATTAAAGGTTAAACGGTTCGGGTTGTTATTGACACGACCAGTCATTTAATATTGACATCTATACAATTTCCCGTAAACATATTATTAAACTCGGCTTACCTGTTCCATCATTTTGCCCATAACAATTTCTACGTTAGCGATGTCTAGCACTTTCGAATCAAAACGTAGGCCGTCTTTCAATCCTTGGATAATTGGTGTCGAAAGAACATTATAAGGTGCTTCATACATCCAGTCCCTTAAAATTTCCAACTCTGGTCGAATCATAGCTTCCAGAATTGTAGGAATAATCTGTCTCTCAAGGGTGCGCACAAATTGAACTTTGTCAAAATTGGGATCCATCTTAAGAATTTCAGTATAGACTTTGCTTAGCTCCGTCGATTCGAACATTCCTCCAAACAGGTCTTGCAGCTTATATGTAATTGCTCGCGAAGCCCGTACTAGAGGGTTTTCTGATTCTTCCAATTGGGTGCGCATTGCCATAAATTTATTTACATATGGATTAGAGTTCTTAAAGTTTTCCCAACCTTGTGCCCATTTGGAGTCTCGGTGAAGCTCCACTCCTTGAGCGTCTTGATTGGCTTTTACCGTTATATCCTTGTGTTGCGCTGATAATGCGGATCGTTTCAGAAGAACCTGCGGAGCTCGGTAAATACGCTCACCCTGCCATAAGATGAATATTTAAGATCAGATTTACGTCATATTATTTGTATTCTATAGCTTCCAAATGCTTTTAATTTTCTATATGTATTCCGTGTATTCACCAGAGGGTGCAATAAAAACGATGAAGTTTAAACAAAATTGACTACATATATATTCAAATACACTTGGGTTACAGGTTTATGAGAGAGAGAGTTACAGCCATATGAGATACAAGCAGGCGCCCTCGTAACAAACTAAGATCAAGTATTCTCACTCTTATCGCCTCGTGGCGTACTTTTATGATTGTAGATTCCAAAATAGAGTTTGTGATCATGGAAACAATATTACGAGATAATTTTCGTAAGTGGAAGTACGGAGTAACTTACGATACGTTAGATAAGTTAACGTATAGTACATAATAACAAAGCTGACTTGTTAGGACAAACAGAATATTTATGTTCTTCCTTTCGTTATTATTATTATTATTAAGATAAATGCGATCGCAGTGGATGATAGTGCTGTTGGCTTACCTCCATACTTGCGGAGACTGCTTTAAGGGTATCGCTTTTTGATAAAATTTCGTCGCCTTTCTGGGCAATATTTTCGATCGTCCTCTTCGCGGCCTCAGCGTGTTTTGTTACCTCTTCTCCGATCTTGGTTTTTTCGATCGTTTCACCAACCTGTTCCTTTATCTGTGCAAATCAAAGACACATTCTTAGAATGATATAGCATTGCAGTCAATCGTATTATTATCCTTGTTTGCCATTACTGCTTTACAAATGTGACGTATAAATCAACGAGCGGTCGATGACGGATTTAACTTTTAAAATAGTTATATATTTCTTACATATTATTACAGTTACATACGTTATTATATTTCATACAACCCTAACCCACAAGTTCACGCATGCATTACCTTCTCAAAGTGTTCTGAAACTTTGCTAGAGGACTCCTGCTCAATGGCCTTAAATTTCTTCCGAGCTTTCTGTAAAGCCTCACTTTGCTCGAGTTTAGCTGCCTCTTCCTTAAACTTTCTCAAATTTTCTTTTATTTCCTTATTCCTAAAATGGTTAAAAGAAATTCATATTTCAATGATAACAAGTTGTCTTTCAGTATACTGAATAAACTGTAAACTTATCGATATATAGGATGATCTATTGAAAATGGCAATTTAAATTTGAGATTCAACGTCGGCTATTGGTGTACAAACCATACCAATCAGTATTTGGACGATAAATCTACATTTGCAGAGCACGCCATTTTGCAAATAAATGAGATTTTGATGCGTGAGTTCGTTCTGTTCTAAGGCAAGTTTTTTTTTTTTATTAAATTTTTCGGAAACAAATAGGTTCGAAAGCCCACAGGACTATCTGGCACCACATTTGATGTTGAAGTATCATTGAAGACAAACGCCGGCAATAAGAACACAACCTATTCTAGAAAAAATATTATATAAACAAGCTGTGAAACGTTTGGTGACCCATTTTGACGCTATGAAAAAAGCTCCGAATCTGTCATTTTCATAACATTATACTTAAACTACAATAGCCAATATTCTACAATGTGTCCATTACGCTGCCAATGTGTAGACCTAACATGTTATAGACCGGTGCCCATTTTTTATACAAATTAGTCTCTTCGAGCCTACTTAATTCTTCTAAAAAACGTATCTAAGAGATTAAGACAACTTTTTTAATAATGATCCTATAAAGTTTATTGTTCGATTTAAATTCAGGGTGACAATCCTCACTTATCTCCTATAAGGAACGTAATACAATAGCAAAATTAAACACATAGTGATTTTTACCAGTAACAATTCCGCGCGCATATATTAGACCATGGAAATTTAAATGGAAAATTATGTTAGAGAGCAGAATGACCCAAGTGTAGTGGGCTCTAGGCTACAACAAAAAGTGTGATTTAAATCGTTTGTCAAATGTTTAAACAATTTCGAATTCTACTACTAAAGATTTGGTATCGATTACAAAGTTTTTACACGTGTAGGTTCTACGGTAGATCTTCTTAACTTTAATACACCAACCTTTCAAGGTCCTGCTTCAAATTTTCGTAAAATGATTTAAAGAAGCCCCCCCTTGACATACTTCTCAGAGATACCATTAGCAGAGGTAACCGTAATTTCGTATTATGCGTGTGGCAGACGGCGCCGGCATTGCTACGCCGCAACATTAATGAGGCCGCCCGAAACATTTTGATAATCTCCAAGCGACCAAAGTGCACACACGGAACTTCGATTGCCGGCGAAAAACACGGGAGTGCTCAACAATAGAAAACGTATAGAAAAGTTCTTATTAATGGGATCGCTGCAAAAATGACTCCACGATAAAAACGTAAAAGCTGTCTGCAAGCAGATTTCACGAAACTTTTGTATTAAAGTATACACAGCACACAAAACGAACGACCACCCAATATCATCATACTCTCAGAGCACGCGCATCGTGGGTAGCCAAGTATCTATTTTGCTTTAAGAAAATCTCCGACATCACCGCTATATTATGACTGTGTCTAATATATCGGACAGAATCCAACGATAACGCACGGCGCACAGGCGACCTGAGTCACCGTTCTTAGAAGTGTATTGCAGTATTATAGAAACTTGTTTAAGTCCATTTCAAGCACTCAAACTAAAATACAGCCGTGTTTGTTTCGGCATATTTAGTAAAGAGCTAAAATCGAGTGGCTGTAGAAACCAAATTAGAAAGCTCAAGAAACGGAATTCAGCGTTAATCGTATAGAATATAACCTTAATATAATCGATATCACTTAGGATAGTGCGTTGTAAGGTGCTTTCTATTTTAAGGAACTCCAAGTATGATGTCGCTTGTCCATCAACCTACGTATATCCGTAAGAAAATCGCACGCAAGGAAAGATGGTCTGCTCCAATGCGGATCACCCTTCTAACTGTTCAAATTAGCCGCCGAATAAACCAAATCAGCTGCTTCCAATGTTTAGAACGCGCCAGTTTCGATATTATGAAGTGTTTCATCTAGCATTCAAGGGGACGATCATTTTATTTCGCGTAAGGAAAGTGAAAAATTTCAAAGTTTCGTATAATTATTGCAGATCTATAGGGCACCACTGACATGCTGCAGTATGGAATTTTAATAACAAGTAAGGACTAAGTAAAAACGATTGGAAGACGTTCTATCGTGTTGAAAATGCACGCTAGGTCAGTAAACCGTTTCAAGAAACCTCGGCTGGATGATGATGACGATGTCGATATTAATGAGCAGCAGTCTGCGGCGGAAGCACCGAAGGTAAATAAAAAACGAAAAATAAATGAGCAAAGTATTGTAAAACTTTAATTCTATTCTTTGCGACTTTAACAGGATTTTAAAAAATATACCCATAACGATTTGGGGACGTTATCCGGTGGATCAAAAGTGTAATAGTAATAGTAGTAAAGCGTTTAAAATATCGATATAGGCGTACTTCAAAGGGAACCTGTTTCATAACTGCAAATAAAATAAAGTACCTTGATTTTACATGTACTGAAGTGAGGTAGTACATTTTATTGAGCGATTCATAGCTGACAGAAAACGCGTTAGTAAATAACTACCATGTTTTCTAAAATATATATGAAACGTTATCTGTTCTCATCTATTGTAGGTTGTGTTTAATGCTTTATCTGTTTACCCATTGAAAACTCAACGTGAACGCCTGCCCGTGTTCCAATGTCGACGGGAAATACTCTACCTGATCGAGAATTGCCAGGTTCTAGTTCTCACTGGGGAGACCGGTAGTGGGAAAAGTACGCAGGTAGAAGATTTACCTATCATTTAATTTTGAAACGAAGAGTAACATTTTGATCACGAAGTTACTGTATGGATTACGCTTTTAGTTATTTAAAAGGTATCATCGAAAGTCAAAGTGAACATTAACATATAGATTATTGTTTGTTTTTCTGTTGTATTGCATTTTTCATATACATATTTGGATGGCTAAATATCCAACTAAGAAGCTTAACGCAACTGGTTTGCGTCCCGCAATGACACATATGCTCTTGCCACACTTTAAACTCCTAGGCTTTCTAATAATAAACTTACTATTATTAAGTATGAAACTCAATTCGTTTGAGCTGGATACAGGTTCCACAGTATCTGCATGAGGCAGGTTGGTCGTCTACTGGTTTAATTGCGGTATCTCAGCCCCGTCGAATGGCTTGTGTCAACCTCGCTAAACGTGTGGCCGAAGAAATGGGTCAACTCCTAGGTCAAGTTGCTGGGTACACGGTGCGTTTCGATAACTGCATCTCGAAGCAAACGAAGATCAAGTACTTAACTGAAGGAATTCTCATAAATGAAATTCAAGGTGATCCACTGCTAACCAAATATTCTGTATTGATGCTGGACGAAGCTCATGAAATGTCTCTATTAATGGACATCTGCCTTGGGCTGCTAAAGAAGATCCTCAGACGACGACGAGACCTCAAATTAATCGTCTCGTCAGCCACTCTCGATGCTGACAAATTTAAGAAATATTTCACTACACAATATATCAAAGCCGAGATTCTGAACGTCCAGGGCCGTACACATCCTGTTACTGTCCATTACGTGACGGATCCCGTAGCCGATTACGTGAAAGCGTCTGCTGAAACTGTCCAAAAGATACACGAAACTCAACCTGCCGGTCATGTACTAGTATTTCTAACTGGAGAAAAGGAGGTCGATGAATGCTGTTCGCTGATAAAAGAGTACGCGTTGAGTCAAAGACATAATAAGCTCTTCGTTCTTCCTTTGTATGGGGCTCTACCAGCTAAAGACCAGATGAAAGTATTTGAGCCGGCGTCGCCCCACGTGAGGAAAGTTATTGTGGCGACAAATATCGCCGAAACTTCGGTTACGATTAATGGTATCGTTTATGTGATTGACTGCGGTTTTGTCAAAATTAAGTGTTACAATCCGATAGCGGGTATAGACACGCTTCTTGTGGCACCAACATCAAAAAGTTCAGCTTTACAGCGAACTGGTAGGGCAGGACGAATAGCTCCAGGCAAATCGTATAGGCTCTATACTCAGGAATCATACTTAGGTCTCAGAGAATTCAGTATTCCTGAGATGCAGCGAAGCAATCTCACATGGACCGTTTTGTTACTGAAATCACTTGGCGTTGATAACATTGTTAGGTTCGATTATATGTCGCCACCTCCTAGCAAAATTCTAGTTAATGCGATGGAAATCCTTCATGCGCACGGGGCCATCGACCATGAGGGTAAAATGACTGAGCTAGGGGCAAAAATCATCCAGTTCAACTGTGATGTATTACAGGCAAAGATTCTATTGAAGTCAATTGAATTTGGTTGTTCTTCGGAAATGTTAACGATCGTTGCCATGATGCAAGTTGATAATATATTTGTTGTGCCCCATCAGAAGGAACGAAACATGAGGAAAGCTAAATACCAATTTTTCGTCGAGGAAGGAGACCTCCTTTCACTTCTGAACATTTACACTAGTTTCGTTGAGAAACAGAAAAATAAACAATGGTGCCACGATATGTTTCTAAATTATAAGAGCCTATGTAAAGTGTCCGAGATTCGTAATCGTTTTAAGGCTATCTTAATAAAAACCTCCAGTAAAGAGATTCTATCAAGTTGTAGTAATCCGGTGGAGCTGTGCCAATGTATCGCATCAGGATTTTTTACTAACGCTGCATACTGGCACGCTACCAGCGGTCAATATCGTTCACTGTGCGGAAATCACCCTCTGGATGTGCATCCCGACTCGGCTTTCTTCAGCCAGCGACCCCCGAAGTGTGTTGTCTTTGGAGACGTCGTAGCTACTCACAAATTGTTCATGAAGCATATTACGGCTGTCAACGAAAGTTGGCTCACAGAAATCGCACCCAACTTTTTCCGAATGGGGACTTCTGTATGTGAGAACTGATTGTATGAACAGCGGAATACTTTCTGAGTTTCTCCAATTTTTTCCACAACTAGCTAGCTAGCTAGCTAGCTCTATCGCCTTATAGGCTTAAATTCAAGATGTATAATACAGCTAAATAATTTTGTAAATATTTTGTATACATTTAAAATGGAACGACAATAAATACAATTGTTTTTAAAGATTATTGATATCCATTGTACAACTGTTTTTATTTTTAATATAACACATATAGAAGTGAACAATATATACATACGTACGAAGCTTCAATGTAGCCAAAGGTTTTTTTGTAGGAGTCTTTCCTTGTGCAGCTATATTACAGTGTTTGCCTTTCCCTGTCCTCGGACTCACTACTCCGCTTTCTCTTCCTGTTTTTTCCAAGCCCGTGCCATTTGTAACAGTTTTAGATGCGGCCTGGCTTCCTGATCAGTCTCAAATACATAGTCATAGTACTCTTCCCAAACACCCTCGCCTCCATCTTCCATTTCGACCTTTCTCCTCTTTTTAATCTTTTGCGGAAGCATCTTTTTGACTTTGGCAAGCCAATCAACATCACCTTGTTCCTGTTCAAAAGCGTACCACGCTTCAATCAGCATACATCGTTCCTCCTTTGTCTGCTCGCGTAGCATTTTTTCCCCTTTATCAAATACTTCCCGAGCTGCCGCTTTGCCAAATCGGGCACCCATAAATCGACCGTAACTAATCCAGACCTTCACGTGTGACGTTCTTTCAAGAAGACGCTCGTATAGCTCCTTGGCCGCATCGTGGTTATCTTGTTCCACTTCGAAATCAATATAACTCTTCCATACCACTTCGGGCATATCGAGCTGCGGTTGGTTAATTGCAATCTCAAATATGTGCCTTGCCCGTTCGGTGTCACCCAAAATACTTTCGAGTTCGGCAAACTTTACCCAGGTTGTGCAATTTTCCGGCTGGAATGCTAAAAACTTCTGATAAAGTATTCGACAACGATCAAATTCTCGCAGCTCAATCTCTAGTTCCAGATAACTTCGAAATAACTTCGTTCGTGGACACATTCCGATTGCCGTGCCCATAATCTTCCTTGCCGCCGTCATGTCCTTTTGACGCACCTCAAACTGTGCTGCCATAATCCAAACCTTGGAAAACGTAAAGGCTTTGTGAGGAATCGAGGACAGAGCACCTCTGTACACCGCTCTGGTTCTCTCTATGTCGTCGGCTACCAGTTCCTCAAACACGGCATAATAAATCCACAAGTATATATAAATTCGCCAGTCCCGTTTAACTCCACTTTGAGGAATATTGGCTATAGCTCGTTCATACACGTCCCGAATTCCCTCAATGTCAAACTGCTCATTCGCTTCCATCAAACGAATGTAGTCAAACCACGTGTAGTAATCGAAGGGATCTTCCTCGATTTGTTTCTCGTACTTTAATTTTCTTTTGCTGAAAATCACATTTTCGATAGCGTTTTTCGTACCGAATTTCTTTTCATGGGTGCAGTGAGCTTTGTATAGATTTTCAGTGTTCTCCTTGGGCAGGCGGTCGAGAGCATAACGAAAGATAACTCTAACCCGTTCATGTTCACGCTGCTTTTCCTCGAAACGTGCAAACGCCAGAAAAAGATCTTCGGACATGAACTCATCTCCAAAAAACACTATGGCCCGCTCAAATACATCGCGCGCTTTATCAACCAGACCGTTTTGTTCTTCAAATCGAGAATATCTTATCCAGTTTTTTACCTGCAAGTAAATCGTCGTTTACTCTGTTAGTACCGTATATGGAAAAAAACTTTTTTTCACATACGGTACAAAAAACGTCGCAATAACCAGAAGAAAAATCTGTCTTTTACTGTTTATTCATACAAAGGAGGAGTGCAATGGCCTATTTAACAAAACGCATCTGATACACTTTTAACTAACGAACTACGTGCTTTAAAACACGATCCATATGCGACAATAAAACGTCCTTAATTAGTCATATTAGGTATAGCAGTTTCACGTAGTACTAACTATTGGACACCTATCCAATGCTAATTAAAAGATGTAACCTTTTATTCGCTTTAATTAATAATCGAGAACAACAAAAAACAAAACTCTTACCTCAGGATGGACGATAATGAATTGCTCATATATTTTTCGTGCTTCATCTACCTCCTTGTATCGCATCTCAAACTTGATATAAGTGAGCCAGGCTTGTTCATCTGGTTGCCACTCCATCCAGCGTTGGAAGATCTGACGGCAACCCGGAACGTTGCCTACAAGCAAGACGGAAACGACATGAGCTCAATAATAATATTTGGGGTAATTCACCATCCGAACTTATAGAATTCATCATCAAAGGCATGAGACATCAAATGATGCCTTATGTATGAAATATTATTTGATCTCAAAAAGTTTTTATAAACCTTCTCTTTTTCTGTTTTTCTACCTTTTTATCTATCTATATTTTATAATATATAAAGCGTTGAAAATCTCGTACTGGTTTTCATGTTTCGAATTTTACTTCCGACATCGGCATTAGACATTCCATGATACGGCTACTCTCAGCATGAAACGAAGAGCCTCTATGCCCGGATTTGAACCCAGACCACAACGTATCGCTAGGACTAGCACACCAATACGTTACCCATTAAGTTATCACGGAAACAAGCCTCTTATCTAGTGATCCAATTATCTAACGTGATCTTTGCGATAACCATTTGCTAATTATTACGCACCCAAGGTTTCCTCCATAAAGGTGTACTTGTACCAAAACTGATTCACTCTAGGGAGAATCGAAACTGCGCGGTCCCAAATGTTTCTTGCATGCTGAACTTGTTTATTCTTCATTTCCATTTCAGCGTATTTCAACCACACTGTTACGTTTCGGGAATCCACATCCAATGCACGTTCGTACACCGAACGTGCTCTTTGAATTTCCTTCTGGCTTTCTTCCCACGCCGCATACTTGAGCCAATTTGAAATAACACCGCTGTCAACAAAAGAAAACAGCATTTAGCTGCAAGTTTCTAGAACTTATTCAAAGACGAATATAGCATTTAATAAATCTGATGAATAAACGAAAGAGATAATCGTTTGAACAATACAGTAAACGCATTTGGAGAAGTTTCGTTCCAGACTAGAAGAAAATTTCGGTTTTAATTGTACTATAACGATAACGTTTACGTAAACAATATGTAATTTAATTACTATTACAGCAGTACCGATTCTTGCGGATATTATCCTCAAAGCCTTTTCTTTTCTTTAGCCGATATTCAGCAAGTTCCTCTGGATCGGAGATCTTTTGCTTGGGAGGCGGGGGTACAATTTCCAGTTCACGCTCCTTGGCCTCACGGAGTAGCTGCTCAGCGGTGATTTGGACTTCCGCCGGAGTCTTGTTCTTCACCTAGCACAAAAACCAAAGTGTATATCTCAATATCTCACTAATTCGTTACTGAACGTAATTGAACAGAGTATTGATAACTGGAAACCCATATTCACAAATCATACGATTCAACGAAACACAAATTCAAAAATGATCAACTTTAGATATTTACCTCTGTTTAGAAAAATACGGATGCTTTATAACCTCTAGGATAACTACTGTCAGAAGTAGGTTCATGTTTTCATTTGTTCAACAGGCGAGACATTGCGAATTAAAAACAGCTTGATAACCTACCTTAGCCACTTTGGGCATTTTCTGAGCCCTATCAGCTTCCATCCTTGCAGTAATCGAATGCACAAGCCTCGCTTAACGCTGCTCAAAGACGTTTCTTTATTTATCAGAATACAATAGTACACGACTCATTTCATTTATATATGTATATATTTTTGATTATTCTGCCGTGACACTTCTACGAGATGCCAATTTATGTGGCGGCGACTTCGTTCGTCTGCGTAACTCATAGCATTCGAAATGGCCATGATTGAATGTATTATTGTTTTCGTTGTGTGAGAACGGTCAGCCCGTTGCAGCAGCCGACTTTGGCGGGCTCGAGGAGGCTACGAACGCCACGATACTCCCGGTGGATAAAGTAAGATACATAATGCTATCAGTATAATAGAGTTGAAAGTAGGCTTATGCGTTTGCAAGCTTCATAGTAATAAATATATAATAGCAATAACTCGTTATTGGGGATCATGTAGTGATACATTGTAGTCTAGTTATTACATAAAAATGATTTAATAAATCAAACGAAACATACACTATTAGGCTTTGAAAGTGTGTGTTAATAGTACCATTGTGGCGGCGCTAGCAGCAACAATAGGCTACACATACTAGTATTGATATACAGGATATTATAATAAACACATTTATTTAGAATTGTTTTAATTCTTTGCTTGGTTTCACCCGTATATTGGCTATTTCCATATATTGTGATATCTGTGAAGTCTGTGTGACACAAGAGTCGGTCAGCCAAACAAACACCTCGGTGAAACCTTCACCGAGGTGTTTGTTCTCAGTTTGCCTGATTTCTCTACAGTGGACTCTCTGCCAATGTAGATATTGAAAACAGCTAACCAATCGTTTTGTATTACGTTTATCGACATAAATGAACTTTTTACTGCAATTTAATGATAACAAACAATAATATTCGTTAATTCATCGAAATAATTGTAATAAAGTATGTAAAATGCAATCTATTCACGGGGTTACTTCGAACGTAGCATTTCGTATTTCGGCAAAATTTATTGATTATCGACATGCGGATTTTTTTTTGCATTTTATGGACGCTTCCATGACGATTCTGCGGGGCATGTTAACATAAATTTCTACTCTAACATCTCTTGCCTACTTAATAATTGCTCAGATAGTGAAGCCCACACATTCGTCGAATGCGTACAACTCTGCCCTTTGTCGTGCAACTTTATCCCTGGGCACGTTTAAGAGCGGTTCACATTGGATCTGCTCATTTAAGTTTCCACTAATTGATCAGTGCAACCAAATTCCATCTAAAGAGGCTTATGGGCTCAGTGTTTGAAATATAGACATATTGAGTACGTGTATTAGTTGCATATAACTTCAATAAGCGGCTTTGCAGCAAAACGTTGAAATGTTTGCGAGCTTCCCTATTCTAAACAGAAACGGCCAGCAAAACAATGCAACACACTATGTGTACGCTACTTGTAATAAAGAGCTTAAAGCGGAAAGCGATCTGGACCAAATTAGTTCTTTTAATTGGGAATATAGGCTATCGCAATGTCCTCTTGATGGGTTATTAGAATTGAGCTCTATTTCACAATGCGATATGAGAAGTGAACAAAAAATGACGAAAAACTTTTTTAGTGTTACAACTTCGATCTGCATTCTTTGAAAATGGTTTAGCAAATCGTTTGTTTACATGCATACTACAGTGTATTTATGTTATACTGCCTACAGATGTCTTTCAAAACCAGTCATTGCATATTAGCTAGTACCGTTGAAGACCTTGGAATAAAGTCATGACAGTTATGATGATAATAACGCCAAAACATGAACGGAGACGGAAAAGATTTTATCTGAGCAAGCTCTGCTATCAAAGTGTGTGCAAGTGTTGCCAAATGAGCGCTGCGAAAATCTCCTGGCCACTTCTGAATTTTTCTGAAATAAAAAATATTTGAAAGCGGGTTTTCCAAAAAAGCCTGCAATATCTTCCTCGTAGTGAATGCTCTTCATAATAGAAAACGCCTATGTGCCGCCTGTTACGCGCAAACAGCTCACCAAGATAAACAAACAACAGACCTCCCACTGGTTTCGAAATTGGTTGCGATGTTCATGCGCGGAACCGAATAGATTAAAGTCAGTGGCGGTGGCAAATATCGGGAGATGTTACTAAACCGCATTGTTCCCGCGAAAAAATTGGCCCGGGGTGGGGTAAGCACCTGGGTCAACAATGTGGTGCGTAATGCTTTTGTTGATAAATTTTATTGAAACATAGATTTCTATGCACGAACAAATATAAATTGCAACAGCTGTACATAATGATTTGATTCTCTCGTTGTTTTCTCTTCGTTTCAGTGGTAGAACAATTGCCGTTAGGTAATAAATTGATGTGACAGATTTAGTAGACTAAAACTTCCTGCTTGTTTAGATATCCGAATGAGTACAACATAGAACATGTACATGCAGACTATACTGTCTTTTTCATAAATTCATTTATATTATTATTGTATTTATTCCCTCGAAAGAAAGTATAGCTAAAAAAAATTACATCTGCAATTTATTGATAACGTTAAGCAAATTCGTTAATTTTTAATAATATTACGAAATATTCTGTGAAGTTTTCGTTATTCCTCCTGTGAGGAGTTTCTACTCTCGTGTGAGATCATCCGACCGTTCAGCGTTGCGTATATAGCTTCAATAGGCCGAGTGAAAAAGTGAATTAGGACCATTGTGTTCACTGGATCTTAATATATTCTCATCATAAAGTAGACATTGAATTATTGATTATACTTTACGATATCACAGCCTCGATAAATCGTATAGAAAAGCATTTTTCCATCGACTGCATCGGCATTCAGGCATGACCTAGACTATGCGTTTAAAAACACAGATCTAATATGTATGGTTATTTGCTCGGCGTTCTTCGATAACCCAAAATAACAAATGTTACCAACAGGCATGCTTGGCAAGCCGGACAATCCAGACGGGGCCGTCTAGTTCTTTGCCAGTCGACTCTTCTGACGGCAAGCCGAATTTAGAGGTCCTTCAACCATTGAAACGGGGAATCACCAAAGTGCAAAAAATTAGTAGAGCTATGCAAGTTTACCTTGATCGCGCTAGAAAACACGAAGACTTCCTTAAAAAACAGGGAGAAGAATTTGACCTTGGCAAGAGACATCTCGCCAATATGATGGGATGGGACCCCGACAATATAACTCAAGAAGACATTGATGTGAGTTTTGTTAGTCAACAACACCCAGTATCGCACTCATCCTTTCTTGCAGCTTACGTGTGTAATGCGTTAAACTTATTTTACATATTTCTAAGTACATTTAGCACACGTTCGTGCTTTGGAGAATTGTGAAATAAATATAGGTATTTTTCTATTGCAGAAAGCTTGTCTATTCGTTTGACTCTATTTAATCACACATGCTGCAGCTGACAGCTCGATCTTAATAAAGCTGTTTGTAATGCTCTGCATTATATGTCATTTAAAATAATATTTTAATTGCAAGAAATTATGATTTAATATGATGTTAGACACGATAATAACCCTCAAACGTATCAACAACGCAGACTGGTATGACTATTGTGTGAACTTCATGACGAACTTCATGTGTGCATGTTGATTCAAATGAACCATTTCTTGTTTACGATTGTTCACTTTCAGAAAGCGATTGCATACCTTCTGCCATCGGGCCTGTACGAGCCCCGCGCGCGACCCATGATGAAGCCGCCGGAGGATGTTTTTCCACGGGAAAAAGCTGCCGAGTTCGATTACTCAGGCAGACCATTTAATTATCTATTTTATACAGGTAAAGCCAATTTTTACTGCTTGCTACATGACGCCGTTGCCGAATTGAACAAACTGAACAAACGCGAGGTCCGAATGGTTCAGTTAGGTTACAGGTACGCTTCGGAAAAATGCCAGATGTAAGTAGAGTCAAAGATATCAGTGACGCATTCTAAGATTAAACCTAGTGTATCCTGTCCTCCTTCCCCAACTGTGATAATCACTTTTCTATTTTAAATATTCTTCTTACATTACCTTATAATTTCGGGTTAGAACGAGTTTTTAGCTATATAGTACAACAATGTAGTGGACATCATCAATTCTAATCACGAGATCTAGATGTTTCCAGTTAAATACTGCCAATACAAATAGGGAATGGAAATGTTTGAAAAATCTCCGATAGCCGTAGTTTTTCGAGGGCATTTCATTTTCTGCGTTGCGCAGTGGCCGGCTTTTTTAAATGAGTCCACAAGCTTTAATTATACATACACGTAAATGAACTCTCAGATTGAATGCATAGACTTGCATTGTATGATTTAAGATGTATGACACGTGTTTAACCGAGGGTCCACCAATGAGTAAACAATCTGTGTGATATATGTGTGTGCGCTGCTACTCGCTGCCGTCCAGCAATCTCTGCGCTCGACTCTAGAACAAAGGTCTATTTGCTTAGATAAGTTCTTGATCAGGTTGAGGTTTTAGTGTTAATTCGCAAGCCTAACTCGTTCAGAGATTAAAACGAGTCCTTGGGAAAGACATTTTCGAAAACATCGACGTAAAAAATAATTTTCTTAGTTTTCCGTTAGGAAAAGCTTGTGATGAAGAAATGATCAGTAATACTGGACCACAAGTACATACAAGCGATCTATGAACAGGGAAAAGCTCTATCGACATTGAACAATCGGATCCAAGTCGATTCAACGCACTACCATACATGTTAACATGTGAGAACAGCCATGCGGCTAGCGTTATATATGCATAAATAAAAACAATCAATAAAGGTTGCATATATGTTCTACACGTAAGACTCGTACTTTGTGAAAACATAGTCCTATACACAACGGCGAGGTTATGTATACAAGCCAATTACTAGCTTAAAGCATTAAAAATTATAAAATTCAGGCATCTTTGCATTTTCATATAGGTCCTCGCGAGGTACTCGGTGGGTTACCAAAGCCGAATTAGAAGAATTGCTAGTCGAAACCTTAACTGGCGAGAACTATGAATATTTCGTTCGCACTATGACACGGCTTATGGAGCATCCGTATTCTCTGGAAGCCCAGGAATTTCTCTCAAATTTACGGAGAAGTCAAGTTTCGAGTGTAGCTCAGCAGGTAATTGAGCCGGTTAAGCACGACGAACAGGGTAATCCGTATGTGGAGGCTCGAGGTGAGTTTTCACATTGGTTTTACATCTTATAGGGGTCTAACTAAGCTGCTATTAATTAGGTTTCACTAATGAGTTGTTTCCTTAAATTTCTCCACCACTCTCAGCTATTTTTTCTTTGTGGACAAAAGTTCGGAACGGCCCTTTTCAAGTCAAGGCGTGAGTCTTGCTCCTACTAGGAATTTAAGCATGGTGGGTCTTGTTAAATTTACGTCGGGTTTCTCCTATAGACCTATGAGACGGCATGGCCACCACACAAGCAACTATAAACCCTGATAATAACTTCTAACTTTGCTTAATTGCTTTTTTCGTGATTGGTAATTTCTAGTAACATTTTTTGTTAACGCTAAGGTTCGAACCAACGTAGCAGTGTGCTTGTTAGTTATAATTATCATGGTAACGTACCCAAAAAGATGCGCATTAGCCACCCAGACTACTTCGCGCTCCAGAGATTTATGTTAGAAGTAGCTGACGTACTAGATCGCAGTCTAGCATCCCAGTTTAACTAACTATTTATCAAAGACTAAATCACCATTACGACGTTAATGCCACCATTAGGAAAGCCAAACTTGGTGGAATGACAAGCTATATATTTATTTATAGTTATATAAATGCATTTTGTTATCATTGTTATTAGAACGCAGATGTACCCTAAAAAGGGTAAGCATACGGTTATTACAGTTCGGTATAAAATTAAGCAACAAATACTGCAAAAACCATGAAAAACGCGGTGCCGCTTCTACAATATTTGGATATGACAATGAGCTGCAGAGCTTGCTTTTAAGATTTAGAGGTCAGAGTTTGTGTAATATTATTTTGTAAGCTATTTCGTTCTGATTTTCCGACACAGGTATGCGGAAATCTGCTATCGCGAAGGTCGTTGTCTATGGCAATGGAACGGGTCGCGTCATGGTAAATGGCTTATCGATCAACGAATATTTCGCGGAGATAAAGGACCGTATACAGATAATGTTTCCGCTACAGTTTGCTGGTTTGCTCAACAAAGTTGACGTCAACGCTACGATCTTCCTTAAAAGTAAATTATGATAATATGCATTAACAAATATTATACACCATCTAAACCTGTTGCCTCATTTATGTTTTCCATTAGGCCACGGTAGCATATGGTTTACAACGGAACAGAATCGAGACCCCATTTTGTTATACCATTCATCCGTCTTTTTTCATTCGTTTATGCTTTTATTACAGAAAGTGAATATGTGGAGGGCGAAAAAGCGCAGTTAACTGAGCAAGAACTCCAGAAACTACGGAAGCCGGTGCGGCTAGGTGAAGGCTCCATGGCCGAGGCTGGAGCGATACGGCTCGCCATTGCTAGAGCACTATGCTCATTCGTTAGCGAACAAGAAACAGAAACGATGAGACTAGGTATGTAGAACGTTTTAGCTGACAGCTGATTTTTGCAACAATAAAATATTTTTTAATTCTGATATTTAAAGCCATATATTCACTATGTTAAATACAGGTTTTACGCTGTTTCAGACGAATATTCAGTGATCAGAAATAGAGTTCTATAGCAAACTTCGTCAAAATTGTTCGCAGCATATGAACAATGAAGTATGAGGAAATATAAGTGGCAAACATTTATACTATGACAACAATGCACTGACATTAGTTACTGAGCTTACCAGGTTTAAATACTGGATGTAAATTGGTGAATAGAGTTTTTCTTAACGACATAGCCCATAGAATCAGTAAAGTGTAATACTTTAATGAGCAATTTTGTGATTAATGACGATATTTTAGCTGGCTTGTTAACACAAGATCCGCGTATCCGTGAAAGAAAGAAACCGGGACAGATGGGAGCGCGCCGAAAGTATACCTGGCTCAAACGATAATATTAACAGCAATTGAGTTTACTTCATTTTAATAAAATAGACCGTATTGATACATTACTTTAAACAGAGAGTACTTCTTATATATATATATATATATAGATTATAGCGTGTTGCGTCTGAATCCGACTACATTCTAGCGGCTGCTTGGGGTAGGGGGCATGCGTTCATTTGCCAGTTTTAGTGCTAAGATAAGCTAAACAGCTTCAGAACAGTGCGTAGCTTTTTGCAATTTGAAATCAGTTATTGTCCAGTTTTTTCGGGCTGAGCAAAGCGTCAACGGGGTCTAGAACTTTCCTTTTCGCCCGATATCGACGGTTTACCTTACTGTCAGCTTCCACTTTTTGAAAATGTGAAAAATATTCGTATTAAGCAAACGGGAAGATCCTCAATAGAATTTAGGTTTAAAAGACCCAAAAATCCGTCAGATTGGCATAAAACAATTTTCACACAGAATTCAATGGCCGATTTAGAGAAGAGCGTACCAGTTTGTTACTTTGGTTGTCCAGATAAGCTCCAATAGCTAGCCTTTTTAAGACCTTTCGCACTGTGTATTTTTTAGCCGTTTCAAGCTTTTGCATTTTTCGGACCCTTGGGTCAGTCGAAACCTTGATTTTTCAGGCATTTTTTACATGTGGCGTATTCGTAAAACACTTTCATGTATTTAAACTTATCAATATCGCTGGAAACACAATTACGGATTAAAAAAGAAATATTTCGAAAATGAATAGTGAGTGATTTTGGTCGAAATTTTAGTGGTTTAGGTGAACGGTTAGTATATCGAACACACATGAATGTCAGAAAAGACACTTCCAGGGCATGTTAGAAACTTTATGGTATATATCTTATTATTTAAATACAGTCTTGAAAACAACGTATAAGGAAAATCTCTATTTAGAGCAGAGCACCTTGTACATATATAAGCTTACGTAGATTACTAGAATACACGCTGTATCCAAAGTTCAGTGTTGTTTCGAACTACAATGAAGGAAGTTTCCGAGAGGGGCTTATTTAGCTTGATGGTAGTCTTAGTGTAACGTAAGAAGTTTTAAATTACGAACTCAGTTAGTACAGAACGACTTTTCGGTAAGCTTTCTATGGTTTCTAGAGTTTGAGTTCTCAAACATTATCGAAAGCACGTGAGTGCTCCAATACAATTTTGTTTACATAGTTCTCAATCAATTCTCAAAATTAAGCCATCCAAATAGGCTAGATACGCAAATCTTTAGATAAAGACGTCTTAAGCTTGGTTATACGACGTCTACTTACATATGACTTGCTCTTCTAAAAAGCTGCTTAAATTGTGAAGCAAGTGATAATGGCGAGGGCAAATATTGGTAAATACGCTAGCGGCACGAAGGTCCGATTCTTTGGAGCGCGTGCTTTGCTGTGTTTAACGAAGCCGAGCATTGCCGTGATAGAGGATCTGTTTGTCTTTATGCACAAGGCTTTAATATATTGTTTTTCATGAAATGAATAACAGAGAACCAACATACGACAACACTTTGAACAGACATCGTAGTGTGAAGGTGTGTATGCTAAAAATGTCACTGGAAAGCAAAGAACCCTTATAGTACAATAAATTAAAATATAGTAATGTACAAGATCATGTCACATCAGGCGTGTGTGTTGTTAAGCGCGTCTCGATCATCAAGACGTTATCTTTGATCCCCCAGAAGAAAACCCTCAGAATGCACACTCCATTTGGCGTTGACCATACGGTTGTTGACGCATTTCATACTACCTTGAGAGTTACAAGTATATAAACTATAATCTGACATAAAAGCCCAGGGGTCTAGACGGCTTAAGAAGACTGACATTGACCTATAATCACATGATAGTTTCCCAGAACATATTTAACGTCAAATAACAGCAATGGTGTCCACAATAATAATAATAATTGCAAAACATGTTTTATAATACATTTTAATAAGTCTGAATAGTATACTTTATGAATTGAGCAGTAAAGAAAAACCGATTTCAAATCGCATTTGATTAGTTGCTTCGAATATTATGCCGCCAGATACCATACATCCAGTACGCAAAATACCTTGCTAACCTTTCTACGGCATTCTCAGCTAATAATTGAAGGGTATTTTTTAACCCATACGTGTAGTTATTGTTAGTTAATTTTATCTCATACATTTCTGTTTTTACTTGTTGGTAATGGAGCGATTCCTGAAAGGATTCCTGATATGAGTTATTTGAGGTGAATGAAAACCTTTCCAGAAAAAAAAGATTGTAAAATTGTTATATCGAGTGCCGGTTAGGAACTGGATGCTGAATCAACATCTGAAAACGAATAAATTAGTGGGCTACATAAATACCAAGTGAAGTTGTCTGTGCAAAAAATTATATAGAGCTGCTGGAGCATTGGGAGTGGAGAAACTTACAGCTTAGAAAACAGGATCAGAGCACTAGATAATATTAAGATTATATAATTGCTAAAGCTATGCTAACTACAGACACACGGAGTATAAAAACAGATTATCTATACACGTTTCGGTTTGTTTTTTCGTTGCTCCATAAATTGAACTGGTCGCAGCTCTGCGGAGAAAATATATGGCAAGTGGTTTTGTTAGTATATCATATAAACAATCGTGGAAACATCTTGAGAGTCAATTATATAATCGAGAGATAACAAATCGGTAATCAACCATGATGGCTTCCTCGACGTATGTTTCTGGTATAGTGTCCTTAAAACAGCAGTGGATAATTTCACTATAGCCGCTATTGAAGCTGCAATAAAATTATCCATTGTTTTGCTAGAGTTTTTTAAATCGTTTAGATATGTCGACTTTTTTAAACTAAATTATAAATAAATTCTAGAAATATTAAGAAAAATTGTTTTATTGCTTTGATAAAGAAAACTATATTTAGTAATAGGTAAAATTATATTTAGAGAATGATCCTTTTCTTGTGATCATAATACACACCATGACCAATGTCACTTCCACGAAATGATAATATGACATTCAAAAGTCTTTGAAGCTAGCTCATCTTGAGGTGTTCGCCTAAATTCCTCGTGTGTTTATATTGTTTCCTAGTAAAATATCACTATACTAGAGTGATCAAATCGGAATCTGATATAACTCAAATGTAAAGAAGACAATAACATCTTTAAAGTGTAATTAACCCACTATAAAATATTGGATTTTTGAGAAAGTATCGACCGTTTTTAAACCAAAACTGACACAAGTATATTTTATATTAAACTAATATTACTTATTAACCTTCTGCCATTTTTCTGGCAACATCATAGCTCTATCACTGCAGAACAAGATGAGCATAAAAATTTTGATAGGTGATCTTTGCATTTCTTCATTGAATTTAGGTGAATTGAGTTCTGTAGAGACCGAAATACGTCATGGTCTGATAGTACAAGATCTAGGCTGCATCAAACCTTTCTCTGATAGACAAGCAACGTCAGCCTTCTCCATGATAATGCCAGACTCTAAATGGCAAAAATTGTTAAACCGTTCCGCAAGACCGGAGACTGCTAAAGAAAAGGGATTTCTTGAGCACCCACAATAACCTCCCGACCTTGTCTAGGTGGATTACTTTTCAAATCGGAAATGAAATTTGTTACAGTACGCTTGAAAATAAACAAGATGATTATAACTGGCTGGATAAGTTTATCAACATCGAAAGTTCTGGCAAGATGGAACAGATAAGCTGGTTGAGAAACGAAAAAAGGTCACCGAGAGTGACTGCAGATGCAAGGTGCTATGCAACGGTCTTGCTAGGTGAAAAATCGTCGTTAGTTCTTGATTACCTTATTCAGTTCAGTACGAACGAGGTCGTCCAACCGGTTCGAGTAAATACGACAAATTAATTTTTAATATCGATACTCCAAACGAAATAAGTGACAAGATTGTCTGTTCCAAGTGTATGTTTATCAAAAAAAAGAATACACAGTTAAAACTGAAGGAAAAATTCAATAATCTCGTGCAAAAGCAAAACACAAAATCTCATAAGATTAAAGAGAGCTCATTCTATAATATTCTGTATTACGTGCTATTTAACCAATAGCCTTCCAAGACATTAAAGAATTACAATGCATCAAAATCATCAGATACAGGTAAATTTAGAAATTATGCTTTTCTATAGAGAAAAAGACTCACTACAAGCATTGTAAGCTTTGCTGATTATATAATCTTTGGTGAAAAGTAACCTATTTCATCACTTGGCTGATTTCACCCAAAACAGCCCGCTCACGAGCCGCCGTACCGCTAGGCCAAGTAAATCATGTTCGCCAGTTTTCGTCAGGTTCGCTCTGTATGTTAGGAGCGCGAAATTTGCAGAATATTCACTCTGCAAATATATATGACTATGCAAGTGAGTCTAGAATACAAACGTTGCGACGGTACACTTTACGTTGCAATTGAAAACTGCATACTTATTTAGGTTTCGACACGGTTTCTCCAACGACATATAGCTAATGCGTTTTCTAATATGTAATGTCATTGTACCTCTTGGTAACGAAGGCGAGTGGCTCGCTTATTTTGTCGTGGCTGGGAGTCTTATTGATCTTGTCGATCGGTTGCTATGGTATTACCATGTTGTTGATTTAAAGCGGTAGATCTTGCTTTTTAGCATGGTCACAGACATGGTTGGTAAACAACAGCAAAGACAGGGTGTTAATCCGGTACCAGCTATTAGGAAGTACGAACGCTACCTCAAGTCCTATACCTATCAGTTCGGACAATCTCACGAACAAGCGTTCCGTTACCGTTGAAGTCTAATTGGCCCGTGTTTCTTGACTCAAAAAATAATTTCGAGTCTCGAATCGATTCAAGCTTGCTTATGGATAGCAGAATATTCAATTAGTAGTTTCGGCATCCCTAAAGCGATTGCTTTGGCTATACCGTTTATTTGTTCTGTCTCTTTAACGACTTTCGGTGCTTCCTAGTGTGATCGTTTTCGTTATATTGATAGAAGAAAATGAACATAGGGATATTTTATAAGCAATTGTAAGGACGACAATAAACATACTAACAAATTTTTTTTAACCATGTGTGAGGCTGGAACTACTTTCTAGAATTAACGCCAGTGAC